AGCGTGTTCTGAAGCCTCGGTTCAAGAGCCATTTCGGTCGCAGAGTCTGGATTTTCCAACAGGACTCTGCTCCTGCACACAAGGCGAAAGAAGTTCAGGACTGGTGCAAGGCCAATTTTCCTGGGTTCATTAGCGTTCAGTAATGGCCGTCATACTCCCCGGATCTAAACCCGATGGATTATTCTGTTTGGTCTATTTTGGAGTCCAGGGCCTGTGCTAAGCCTCACAAAAGTTTGGAGTCTCTTCGCCACTCTCTCATCCGAGAGTGGGACTTAATTACACTCAAAGAGGTGCGTGCTATTTGCGAAAATTTTTCTTCACGCCTTCGCCTCTGTATCAAAGCCAAGGGTGGGCATTTCGAAACTTCTTGATTATTATTGTTCCTTATTTAATTCTCTATCATTTGATTGTATTTTGATTTTATTTGATTGTGTTTTAATAAAGTTATGAGAGAAAACAAGTGTCCGGTTACTTATGCCGCACCCTGTAGTGTACCAATAAAATTTTTAAATTTTCCAAGGGTCCTATTTTGGGAAACAAAAAATTTTCCAATTTTCCACTTCCTTTAATAAAAATTTTTTAGAATTCCAAAAAAAATTTTTTAATTTTTCTAGCATGTTTTTAAACTTAAAATAGTTATAATCTGTTACATATTTTTGTAAAAAAAATTATTTTTTATTTTTTATAAATTTTTTCCAGCTTTATCGACTGCTGTCAATAATGTTTTTAGGGAGGGGGGAAATAAGAGGGTAGGGGGAGAGAGGAGGGGAGGGGTAAGGGGGGAGAATTAAAATTAAAGCCTTTATTTCCCTTGTGTGTTTATATATTTTTTATTTTTCATTTCCTGCTTAAACAAAAGAAAAAAATATACCCTCCCCCCTCCCTAGTGATTTGTTTTGCTGTTAAAAAAGGATTCTTTTTTGTTAAAAAATAATTTTTGTTTGACTTTATTAAAAAATAAAAACAAGGAAAATTGAAGAGGACATTGTTGTATAATATCATTAAAATTTTTATTTTCCTTTTTTAATTGGTTAAAATAAAGTTTTAATTAGGCTAAGAAAAAAAATTTTTTTCTCTAACACTCTCTCATTTTTTCACATACTCTCTTACTCTTACATGTTTTTTTCAGTGCATATGTTAAAATATTCTGATTTTTAATCATTTTATTATTTGTTTATTCTGATTTAAGCTCTTCTTTGTTTCGATATTTCCTGCTTTTTTAAAGTCAACACATAAATACGCAATTAACTTTAAGCATCTAATTAAAAAATATTTTTTGTTATAATATTTTTATATGACGAAAAAAATAAGTCTTTTTTAAACAATAATTATTAAAAATTTTTAATTAAAAAGAACCTTTGTTTTTTAAAAAAAATTTTTTTTTGTTTTTAATTTATTGTCAATTTATTGGGTATTTGGTTCACTAAATACATATTTTCCTATTTTTTTCAAACGTCACACAAAATTTTTTCCCAATATTTTTTGAACTTTTTTTCTTTCTTCTTTTTTCAATTTTTAGTATTTCAAAATATAAGGAAATCTTTAGGTATCTGGAACCGATAACCGAAGATTTTCCAGGGACCCCCAACCTTAATAAATTAATAAGTATTCCCCGTTGCTTCTCGATGAGCCGAATCGAACAAAAATAGGACCCCCTGTCCTATTTTGGGAAACAAAAAAGACTGATTTGGAATGAAACATTCTAAGAAAAAAGGATGTCTAAATGCCCCCCCCCCCCTCTAAAAATTTGTATTTTTTTTAATTTTTACGTAATTTTGTATTTTCTTTTTTCTATTTTAAGCTCATTTAAACAATAAAATTCTCCAATTTTAATTAATTTTATTTTTTTTCTGTTAAAAAATTCAACTAAAAAAATTTTTTTTTATTTTTTGCACGCAACGCCTATTTTTGTTTGGCTAATAAAATTTTGGAAAGAGATAGAGGAGAGAAGATATATTTTCCTTAATGGAATTTTAGGCAAAAAAATATTTTTGTGTGTGTGGGAATAACAACTAGCCCCAACAAACAGTCCTCGCATTTTTTGCCTTTCCTTCCGCCGCCTCGTGGCCCTTTTATTAAAGTGGCCCTTATTTTAAAGACTTTTTTTGGGCATTTTTTATTGAGTATATTATACACACAAATAAAAGTTTTTTTTCGTTTTTATATGACGTAAATGTAAATATTTTTGTTATTTTGTCCAAAATCTCTATCGTATTATGTATGTTCCCTTCACATTACGTGTGGGCTGGAAGGAACATCACCTTATTTAACTAATTCTATAGTTGTCTTGTAGGGGGACCTTTCTATTGGAGAGAAGTCTTCTATTAGATTGTTTGTTTTGTTAACATTCAACATCTTTGTGTATTATGTTCCTTTCACACTACTTGTGGGCTGAAAGTTCGTCCGGCGCCTAATTTTGGTGTCATTTGACTCAGCTCGACGGGCTCTTTCGAATGACATACCAATCGACCTATCGTCGTCTGTGTCGTATACCGAACTTTTTCCGAGAGCCTTTCTATTAAATATTCTTCTTTTTAACATCCAAAACCTTTCATGTTCCCTTCACACTACTTGTGGGCTGGAGGGAACAACATCTTATGTAATTTCGCTCCTGCTGAAAAAACTCCGTTTCCGAATTTTTGTTTTTGTTAACGGGCCTTCGAGAAAGCATTAAACTTAATTACGTAAATTTTCCTGTTAAAATAACAGGAAAATAAAAACAAAAAAATTGAGGGAATAAGGGAGGAGGGACATAAAATTAAGGTAAAGGGTAGAAGAGCACTTACTTCTTCTAAAAAAGAATATAAAATTATTATAGTTAAATATAAACAAGCCAATTTTCTCTTATTTTCTTCCTCATTTTGTCGAATAGAAAGTTTTTTCTTTCAAATTTTTTTTTTCAATTTTTTGTCCTATAAACAACCTCTTCTATCTATTTTGTATTAGCACCTAAAGACTTTGTTTGTGTGTATTTGAATAATTGAGTTTGCGGGAAAGGAAGACGAGAGGAGGATGGAGAGCTTGAAGGCATTGTTAAATATTCCTCTTTGTTTTAGTCCTCGTCATTATTTATTCCAAATTTGGAAAGAAAAAAATTTTTTTGGGAAGGTTGTAAGTGGGAGAGGGGGGGGGGGGGTATTAGCAATAAATAGCTCTCCTTGAAATTATTTTTTTTATTTTTAAAGCTCAAATACCACATTTTTGTGCAAAAAATCCTCCTATCATTTCCGTTATTCTCAATTTTCTTTTTTGAATTTTTTTTTGGATAATAAAAAATATTTTGGGTGTAGATGACATTACTATAACATTCCATCTCGTTATAAAAATCATTTTGGACTGTTCCTTCATCTTATTTTTGTGGACAGAACGAGCATCATTTTCACTGGGTACAGCACAAAACAACGCGCGGCCATAAAAACGCAAAGCCATAACTGGCTGGAAATTTCTGGCCCCTATTAAATTCGGTACCAATCTCTTTAGCTCTTTGAGAGGAATCGTTTAATACTAAATTTGTTAAAATTCGGAAATCTTGAAGCAAGTTATGGCTTTGCGATGTTATGTCCGTGCGTTGTTTTGGGCGTGTCCCATTTTCACCATGTTCTCTTCACACTACATCAGGGCTGGAGGGAACCTTTTGAAAAAGAGACCAAACTCTCTATCTCGAAGAATCTCGATTCGGATTTTTATTTTGATTTCGTCTCGGTCCAGTGCTCCTTTACTCTACAACGGTCTTTAAGTAACACCTATTGTTCGAATCATTTTAATTTATCCTGTGAATTAATTATTGTTTACAGCTCTATTTAACGCTGTCGATGACTATGCTAATATCACTTTTGTGTTAAATAAAATAATTTATTCATTACATATCCCATTTATTTTATTTTTTCGCTCATTATACATAATTTTCTTTTATTAACTACTTGAGGCATTTTTTAAAAATTATTTTTCTAGAAAAAAAATTTTTCAACAATTTTTACATAAATGGAAATTTATATATTAAGTAAATAAGGACATTCACTCTCTCTTTTTTTTATTATTAATTTTTTCTCTCTTCAATTTCAAAGAATTTTTACTCGGCTTATTTAAGGCTGTATATATTTATGCTTTAGCTTTCTTTTTAGTGTCAGCCAGTGACTAACTAAAAAATAAAATAATAAACTAGGTCATAGGCTTTTGTATGTACTATATCGACTCTTTATATTTAATTATGTTTACATATATGGATATCTAAAAATATTCGTTGAAAATAAGAAAAATGTTGAAGTATTTTTAGTGACATTTCAACCTACGATTTTATTTTTGTTTTTAAATTAGATTTTTATTTGTGAATTTATGTCCCCTTCACACTACTAGTAGGCTGAAGGGAACATTATTTTTTATTATGCGGCTTATTTAATTTTTATATAAGTGACATTTCAACCCAAATTTGTCGATTCGGAATCAAAGCTGAAGAAACGAGTATTTTTCGCTTCTTTTCTTCGGTTCCAGTTATCCGAAAATTTTTCTAGACAGACAACCGTACCCTTCACACTACTAGTAGGCTGAAGGGAACATTCTTTTTAATTATGTATCTTACCCTTCTTGTAGGGTTGAAGAGATATCTAACTATTTATGTACCCTTCACAGAAAGCATCATCGACCATAATTTTATCATGTTCCCTTCACACTACTTGTGGGCTGGAAGGAACATATATCGTAAAGTTATCTTCCCGATTATCATTAATTCGTCATTTTCACACATAGCCTACTAGTAGTTCAGCCTACCCTTCAGCCTACTAGTAGTGTGAAGGGGACATAAATTCACAAATAAAAATCTAATTTAAAAACAAAAATAAAATCGTAGGTTGAAATGTCACTAAAAATACTTCAACATTTTTCTTATTTTCAACGAATATTTTTAGATATCCATATATGTAAACATAATTAAATATAAAGAGTCGATATAGTACATACAAAAGCCTATGACCTAGTTTATTATTTTATTTTTTAGTTAGTCACTGGCTGACACTAAAAAGAAAGCTAAAGCATAAATATATACAGCCTTAAATAAGCCGAGTAAAAATTCTTTGAAATTGAAGAGAGAAAAAATTAATAATAAAAAAAAGAGAGAGTGAATGTCCTTATTTACTTAATATATAAATTTCCATTTATGTAAAAATTGTTGAAAAATTTTTTTTCTAGAAAAATAATTTTTAAAAAATGCCTCAAGTAGTTAATAAAAGAAAATTATGTATAATGAGCGAAAAAATAAAATAAATGGGATATGTAATGAATAAATTATTTTATTTAACACAAAAGTGATATTAGCATAGTCATCGACAGCGTTAAATAGAGCTGTAAACAATAATTAATTCACAGGATAAATTAAAATGATTCGAACAATAGGTGTTACTTAAAGACCGTTGTAGAGTAAAGGAGCACTGGACCGAGACGAAATCAAAATAAAAATCCGAATCGAGATTCTTCGAGATAGAGAGTTTGGTCTCTTTTTCAAAAGGTTCCCTCCAGCCCTGATGTAGTGTGAAGAGAACATGGTGAAAATGGGACACGCCCAAAACAACGCACGGACATAACATCGCAAAGCCATAACTTGCTTCAAGATTTCCGAATTTTAACAAATTTAGTATTAAACGATTCCTCTCAAAGAGCTAAAGAGATTGGTACCGAATTTAATAGGGGCCAGAAATTTCCAGCCAGTTATGGCTTTGCGTTTTTATGGCCGCGCGTTGTTTTGTGCTGTACCCAGTGAAAATGATGCTCGTTCTGTCCACAAAAATAAGATGAAGGAACAGTCCAAAATGATTTTTATAACGAGATGGAATGTTATAGTAATGTCATCTACACCCAAAATATTTTTTATTATCCAAAAAAAAATTCAAAAAAGAAAATTGAGAATAACGGAAATGATAGGAGGATTTTTTGCACAAAAATGTGGTATTTGAGCTTTAAAAATAAAAAAAATAATTTCAAGGAGAGCTATTTATTGCTAATACCCCCCCCCCCTCTCCCACTTACAACCTTCCCAAAAAAATTTTTTTCTTTCCAAATTTGGAATAAATAATGACGAGGACTAAAACAAAGAGGAATATTTAACAATGCCTTCAAGCTCTCCATCCTCCTCTCGTCTTCCTTTCCCGCAAACTCAATTATTCAAATACACACAAACAAAGTCTTTAGGTGCTAATACAAAATAGATAGAAGAGGTTGTTTATAGGACAAAAAATTGAAAAAAAAAATTTGAAAGAAAAAACTTTCTATTCGACAAAATGAGGAAGAAAATAAGAGAAAATTGGCTTGTTTATATTTAACTATAATAATTTTATATTCTTTTTTAGAAGAAGTAAGTGCTCTTCTACCCTTTACCTTAATTTTATGTCCCTCCTCCCTTATTCCCTCAATTTTTTTGTTTTTATTTTCCTGTTATTTTAACAGGAAAATTTACGTAATTAAGTTTAATGCTTTCTCGAAGGCCCGTTAACAAAAACAAAAATTCGGAAACGGAGTTTTTTCAGCAGGAGCGAAATTACATAAGATGTTGTTCCCTCCAGCCCACAAGTAGTGTGAAGGGAACATGAAAGGTTTTGGATGTTAAAAAGAAGAATATTTAATAGAAAGGCTCTCGGAAAAAGTTCGGTATACGACACAGACGACGATAGGTCGATTGGTATGTCATTCGAAAGAGCCCGTCGAGCTGAGTCAAATGACACCAAAATTAGGCGCCGGACGAACTTTCAGCCCACAAGTAGTGTGAAAGGAACATAATACACAAAGATGTTGAATGTTAACAAAACAAACAATCTAATAGAAGACTTCTCTCCAATAGAAAGGTCCCCCTACAAGACAACTATAGAATTAGTTAAATAAGGTGATGTTCCTTCCAGCCCACACGTAATGTGAAGGGAACATACATAATACGATAGAGATTTTGGACAAAATAACAAAAATATTTACATTTACGTCATATAAAAACGAAAAAAAACTTTTATTTGTGTGTATAATATACTCAATAAAAAATGCCCAAAAAAAGTCTTTAAAATAAGGGCCACTTTAATAAAAGGGCCACGAGGCGGCGGAAGGAAAGGCAAAAAATGCGAGGACTGTTTGTTGGGGCTAGTTGTTATTCCCACACACACAAAAATATTTTTTTGCCTAAAATTCCATTAAGGAAAATATATCTTCTCTCCTCTATCTCTTTCCAAAATTTTATTAGCCAAACAAAAATAGGCGTTGCGTGCAAAAAATAAAAAAAAATTTTTTTAGTTGAATTTTTTAACAGAAAAAAAATAAAATTAATTAAAATTGGAGAATTTTATTGTTTAAATGAGCTTAAAATAGAAAAAAGAAAATACAAAATTACGTAAAAATTAAAAAAAATACAAATTTTTAGAGGGGGGGGGGGGCATTTAGACATCCTTTTTTCTTAGAATGTTTCATTCCAAATCAGTCTTTTTTGTTTCCCAAAATAGGACAGGGGGTCCTATTTTTGTTCGATTCGGCTCATCGAGAAGCAACGGGGAATACTTATTAATTTATTAAGGTTGGGGGTCCCTGGAAAATCTTCGGTTATCGGTTCCAGATACCTAAAGATTTCCTTATATTTTGAAATACTAAAAATTGAAAAAAGAAGAAAGAAAAAAAGTTCAAAAAATATTGGGAAAAAATTTTGTGTGACGTTTGAAAAAAATAGGAAAATATGTATTTAGTGAACCAAATACCCAATAAATTGACAATAAATTAAAAACAAAAAAAAATTTTTTTTAAAAAACAAAGGTTCTTTTTAATTAAAAATTTTTAATAATTATTGTTTAAAAAAGACTTATTTTTTTCGTCATATAAAAATATTATAACAAAAAATATTTTTTAATTAGATGCTTAAAGTTAATTGCGTATTTATGTGTTGACTTTAAAAAAGCAGGAAATATCGAAACAAAGAAGAGCTTAAATCAGAATAAACAAATAATAAAATGATTAAAAATCAGAATATTTTAACATATGCACTGAAAAAAACATGTAAGAGTAAGAGAGTATGTGAAAAAATGAGAGAGTGTTAGAGAAAAAAATTTTTTTTCTTAGCCTAATTAAAACTTTATTTTAACCAATTAAAAAAGGAAAATAAAAATTTTAATGATATTATACAACAATGTCCTCTTCAATTTTCCTTGTTTTTATTTTTTAATAAAGTCAAACAAAAATTATTTTTTAACAAAAAAGAATCCTTTTTTAACAGCAAAACAAATCACTAGGGAGGGGGGAGGGTATATTTTTTTCTTTTGTTTAAGCAGGAAATGAAAAATAAAAAATATATAAACACACAAGGGAAATAAAGGCTTTAATTTTAATTCTCCCCCCTTACCCCTCCCCTCCTCTCTCCCCCTACCCTCTTATTTCCCCCCTCCCTAAAAACATTATTGACAGCAGTCGATAAAGCTGGAAAAAATTTATAAAAAATAAAAAATAATTTTTTTTACAAAAATATGTAACAGATTATAACTATTTTAAGTTTAAAAACATGCTAGAAAAATTAAAAAATTTTTTTTGGAATTCTAAAAAATTTTTATTAAAGGAAGTAGGACGCTTCGACGCGGTAATGTTAAGGCGCGACAAACTATAAAAACTCAGGTAGAGCACCTAAAATCATAAAAATTTGCACAGACTTTCTCAAAAGTGTTATCCAACATGTCTATAAATTTCAGAATTTCTGATCAAATATTTCAGAATTTATGGCCAAAAAATCAGAATTTAACTGAAAAATTGGTAGTTTTACTGCTTTCTTTGGGCATATCTTTGAAAATACTCAATGAAAAATTCTAAAATTTTTATTACATGTTTTTAACACTTTTAAGAGTAATCCTGGAAAATTTCATAAAAATAGGACAAGTAGAAAAAAAGTTATTGATGAAAATGTTAAAGAGGTTTTGCTAGTTTTTCAACATAAACACACACAAACAAACTTTTTTAAATTCTTTTGCAGCTTAAATAAATTATTTATTTTTTTTATTTTTTCTTTTCACGGTTCAAAGCCTCTTTCTTTTAAAAAAATTAAAAATGTCAAGCAATCAATCATTTAGTAAAGCTTTTTTTTTCAGATCAGTTTTTAAGCCTCCTTTTACTACTATTTTTAACTTCCGGGGAAATATATAATTGAATATATCTTCTTTTTTTTGAGAAAAAAATATTCTGGAGGGTTTGTGTGTGTTTTTACTTTTTAAATATTTTAGAGACTTGAAAATTAATTTTAAATTGAAAAAAAATTAATTTTTAAGTTGAAAAGCTAACAAAAATATTAAATAAAAATAAGGGGGAGAGAAAATAGAAGAAAGGGAAAAATCTTTTTTTTTTGACAAGCAAAATAAATAATTATATAAAAAATGATTGAAGAGACTTAAAAAAGATTTTAAAAATAAATTTAAAAAATTTGTAAAAAATCAAAAATTAAAAATATTTTCAGAAATTAATTTTTCTACTAATTTATAAATAAACTTCAAAAATTCGAAGCTAAATAATAGAGAAATAAAAGGAAAAAAAAGAGAAGAAAATAGACAAAATAATAGAAAAATTTTTTATTTAATTTTATAATATTTAAAAGACACCCACCCGATCTAGTCACATTTCTACATCCCCCACCGCCACCACTGCCAAGTCCTATCGGAGGGCTACACACAAGAGGTGGAGGAGTGCCAGCAAGAGGTGACGAGCAATTAGAGAGGCGAGAATTGGAGAGGCGTGAGTGGGATTGACGAGAGAGGAGAGAAGGGCCTCGAGAGCAACATGGGGTTGTTAAGGGCTCCGAATCCTGCAAAATAAAAAATTTTTTTGAAAAAAATTTTTGTCAAGAGGAAATTGATTTTATAAGGGAAGGGGGCAATTTTTTGAATAAAACTTTATATTTATAAAAAGAAAAATAGAATTGGGGAAGTTGTCGGGTCTATGCTAAAAGGGTGTTGGATATGAATGTCCGTGTCTGAAAGTGTTCGGATACCGGATCCGTATCCGGACACCCAAGGATTTCCTAGGATACGCCTACCCGTTGACAAGCTAAGCCCCTACCTCTACCTACCTATCCCCAACCCTACCCGATTAAAAAATTTTTCTGTAAAAATGGTCAGGGTTAAAAATGGTCAATATTTAATTATGAGTTCCTGATATAGTAATGAATTTTTGGTCCCGAGTTGATTTCTCGGTCCTAAATTCTGTTCCTATTTGCAACCATAATTTCCAAAAATGGCCTGACTCTAGGTCTGAAAGTCAGTGCTCTTTAAAAAAAATCCCCCCAAAAATTTCTTTTTTAAAATTCCTTACAGAATCAGAATGTTGTAACATTTGTTGTTGTTGTCCACCACCTACAGCCCCAAAATTACGAAGGAAGTTGGGTGAATGAGCACTCTGTGAACGTATAGGCCGTGATAGAAGAACAGGCGACAAAAGTACTGTTGGGGATGGAGAGACTGGTTCGCAAGGTGTTGACTGGAAATTTGAGAAAATTTAGAGGAATTATTTAGTAAAATTATCAAGTTTTGCAAAAAAATATTTTTTAATGCGCATTTTATTAAAGCTTGCAATTAAGAAATGTTCCCTTCGCACTATAGTAGTGTGAAGGGAAAATATTTTCTTGGAAATTTTTTTAACCCTCGACTACCGTAGTAAAAGTGATATGAAACTAAGATTATATGACCATGAAAAATCATTAGATGTATAGGATATCAAAACTATAAGGTTTAAAATTATAAATGTTCCCTTCGCTCCAGAGTATAGTGAAGGGAACATGCTAATTGTAAAATTAATTTTTTTTTAATTTTCAAGAAAATGGGGGAAAGGATTCAGACAAGGGAGGTCTGACAACCTTAAAAATTATTATGTTTATAAGATATAATAAAGCTTCATGGTTTCCAATTACAAATGTTCCCTTCACTCTATAGTAGTGTGAAGGGAACATTTTTTTTCTCGGAAAATTTTTTTCTTTTAATTTTTCGACATTTTTATTTAAAGTGATATGAAACTAAGGACGATCTAAACATGGAGTTTCTAAAAACAAAAACCCTTCAAAGAAAGTAAGTGGGATAAAATGTCTCTCTCATTCATGCCTGTATTTCACTCCTCGTAAACATAGAAGTACAAGTACGGCATAAACAACCACTATTAGATTTTTGTAAAGTTGGTGAAGAAAAATTATTTGGAGGGGGAGGAGAATAATTCTCGATTTTATCAATTATATTGTTGTTTTCATTGTTTAATTGTTGAAGGTTATTTTGTTGTTGTTGTCCAAGTAATTTTAATAGTAAGGGGGAGCTCCCAAAGAGCGGCATATTACTATAGCTACCCAAAAATAAAAAAAAGTGGTTTATTGTGGCTTTTGAGGGATATTGAAAATTTTTTAGACAAAAAGGAAATTAATTTGAAGGAGGAAAAGAATTATAACTTTTCAAATAATTAACCAAAAATTCTGAAATTTTTGTATAACTTAGTTAACAGTCCTAAGAACGTCCATGCAAAATTTCAAGTTTCTAAGTGGTTATTTGAAGGTTTAGTGACGTTGTGATGAAACGACGTCGAGGGGAAAATAAGGAAAATTTAAAAATATTAAAAAAACTTAAAAATTAAAAAATAAAAAAGGGCAATGTATATTTAAATATATAAAAAAATTAAAGAGAAAATTAATAAATAATTGGCTGAAAAATTGATTTAATTTTAGTGGCTGTCTGGTATTGAATTTAATGAAAAGCATATGAAAATTAAAAAAATTAAAGTTAAAATACTAGAAAATGTTTAAATAAACTTGAATTATTAATAAAACATTTTTTGCAAACTTGAATTTATAAAATGTGTACAAAAAAGTTTTATAAATATTCAACTTGAAAGTCTACAAACTTTAACTTAAATAAAACCTGAATTTATTTAAAACTTTTTTATTTACAACTTGAAACTTTACAAACTTGAATTTTTACAAAACATAATTAATAAAAAACTTTAAAGTTGTAAAACTTGAATATTTATAAAACTTTTTTGTGCAACTTGAATTTTTACAAACTTGGATTTTAAATTAAACTTTTATTACAAACTTGATATTTTCAAGTTTGTAAAAAAAGTTTTAAATTTAATTTCCTCCCATCTCTTCTACATTTTCAAGTTTTATTTTAAAAAAGTTTTATTAAAATTTCCTGAACAAATATAAAACTGAAAAAAGGTTTTATATAAAACGTTGCGCTGCATTATAATCAATGAAAATTTGGGGGTGAATAATGCTTTGTTTTAAAAGATAGAAAATAGATAGGGGGGGGGGGGGTAAAAAAGAAAAAAATAAATATTATTTAAAGTTTTTGGTTTCACTTTAAAAATGACAAAAAAAATTTTTTGGTTTTAGTGGAAAATCAAGGGGAAAATTAAATTAATTAAAAAAATATTTTTTTTAATTATTTCACTCAAAAACAAATTAAAATTCTTTTTAAAATTAATCTTTAATCAAAAAATTAAATTTTTTCATTTAATTTTGTCAAAAAAACAATTAGAACAAACTTGTTTATTTTAATTGTTTTATCCTTTACCTCTTTTATATTCTTTACAAGTTTATTTAATTAAAACTTTGTTTTAAACATTTACAATTTGTAATTTAAATAAACTTGTTTTTTTATAATTGAACTTAAATAAACTTAATTAATTGCTCAAGCTTAAACTTAAAAATAAGTTTATTTAAATTACAAATTGTAAATGTTTGTTGTAAAATGTTTAAAACAAAGTTTTAATTAAATAAACTTGAAAGAGGTCGACCATAAAAGAGAAAAAACTTAAACAAAACAAAGAGAGAAAGAAATGTTTTTCTGACATTAAATGTTTTTGACAGAGAAAAGTTTGTGTTTTAAAGGACAGAAAGTGATAAAGTGAGAATAATGATAAAATAAAGAGAGAATAATTAGAGAAAATTAATTAGAATTTTTTTATTTTAAAATTAAATTTTTGAATTTTTTCGGATTTAAATAAAAATTAATTATTGACTAAAAAATAATTTTTTAAATAAAATTAAAATAAAAAATATTTTAGAAAAATATAGGATAATTGAAAGAGATAAAATCGATGAATGTTTGTGAAGGTTTTTTAAAAAAAATTGGGTAAACAAAGGATTTTGTTTCAGGGTTTAGAGTGTTTTTATCCTTTAAGATGAATCCAAATCCTTCAATTACTTATATTATATTTAAATATAATCGAACCTCATTTTTCTCCCTCCTTTTTAGATAACCCGAAGACTAGATAAACCACAATTCAAGATTGTTTTCTTAAAATTTAGTTGGGTTTGGGGAGCTATTTAAGCGGCACTCCTAATCTAAGATAAACCTTATTAATAAGGTACGACATTTTTCTAGTCCTTATAATGAGATCCGACTACATTTTATTAATAGAGTGATACCTCTTTTTAGGTAACTCTCATTATAGGATACATTTTTTGGGTAGCTTTTCGAGGCTCGATTTATTTTTTGGATTGAGAATACGAGCGCTCAATAATAAAAATAAATTTTCAAAGAAAAGTAAACAAATAAACGAATCCAAGATTGTAGAGGGAAAAATTTTTTATTCCACAAAAAATTGTAAAATAAAAGTCCTTCTATACATTCAAAATAAGGTCAAAAACATTTTTTACTTTATTCAAAAAATAGGGCAATATTTCTTGGTATAGTTTTCAAGGAGTTGAGGGAGGGAGAATGATGTGGGATGGTGTTGTTTGTATATACGAGAGTGGCAGCCCCCAAATCCCCTAGAGAATTTCAAGGAAAAAAGGAAAGGTTTTTCCCGTAAATGACGAGAAGAAAAATAAAAAAAATATATTTTTGGTTAATATTTTTAGTTGAAAAATTTTTTTTAATTGTATAGTCATAAAGTAATCGAAAAAATAATAAAAATATTATTAAATGGCCAAAAAAGGGGAGAGAAAAATAAATTTTACTAATAAAAAAATTGCAAGAAGAATTGAGGGAGAAAAAAAGGCAATTTATTTTTCTGCAAAGCTGGGCTAACAAAAAATTGATAAAAAAATTTTTAAATTTTATTTTAATTTTTAAGTGGATTTAAAAATAATTAATTAATGAAAGAATAATACATGTTTAAGAGCGAAAATTTGTTAAAAGACTTAAGGGCACAAATCAAAGAAAATTTTCAAGTCATGTGAAAAGATTTGACGGATCCTAAGAAATCCAAATATCAGAATCAGGATAGAAAATTTAGAGATCAGGATTTCCTCAATATGAGAGATTATATACAGCTTGAACTCGATTATACGTGTCCATACGTAGGTAGAGGTTATCTTTTAATTTGGTTGGCCGCTGGGTATTCTAAAAAATGATAATCTCGATTTTAGATAAAGTATTCAACCTTAAGGATGTACGTAAAATTGAGGTCCGACTACCTCAGCAATTTAAATTCCCGAATTTAAAAAAGGAGAAAATGGAAGAGGATGAATTTTTTTAACTGAAGTCGAAAATTTGAGAAGGTCCAATTTCTTTTTTAGTAAAAAAAAGTATTTTTAAGAGACAAACAACCCATTAAAAAATAAATAGAAAATCCCATGAGTTTTTTAAAAAAATTTTAAAAACACATTTAAGTATTTAAAGTAAAATGTCTCTCTAATGCATCTGGAAAATGGGAAAAAATAAAAGAAATTGAGTTGGACTTTTTAGTTAAAAAAAGCCGATTGGCTCTTAAATTACAATAGAAAATTTTTGAACTTAGAAAATTAAAAAAGAAAAGTAAAATTAAAGCTTAAGCTTGAAAATAGAACTTGAAAGCTTGAGCTTAAAATTGTAAACGTCTTAAGCTTGAACTTGAAAATATAAGTTTTGAACTTGAACTTAGACCTATTATTTAATAGAGAAAATAAACTTTGTTTTTAAGTTCAAGCTTAAAATTTTTATTCCTTTATTTTTAATAATTTTCAAGATCAATCTTAAAATTTTTTAATTAAACAGAGAAAATAAACGTCTATTTTAAGTAAAAAAAGTTTTTAAGATTGAACTTGGAAAATATCAAAAACAAAATAAAACTTGAAATAAACAAGTTTAATTAATAGAAAATCCCAGCAGAATTATTAATTAAACTTGTTTATTTCAAGTTTTATTTTGTTTTTTCAAGTTTATTTTGCCTAAGTTTTTTACTAATTTCCTCGAATAATTTTAAGTAAACAAGTTTTAAGCTTGCACTTAAAAGGTTTTATAAAACAAATTAATTTCAGTATAGTAAATAAAGAGATTAGCATTAATATTATTAAAAATTAAAAGTAAATAAATTCAGATAATGAGAATATTATTCACAGAAAGATGCGTCAGAAAATTAAATAAGCATAGTAAAACTGTTTACATTTTTTAAAAATGTCTAGAAAAATAAATAGAAAAGTGCAAAAAATAAGAGAAAAATGAAAAATTAAAAAATGACTTTTGAGCCAATTAATTGACAAAAAAATTTTAACTGAGAATTTTATAGCAATTTTAATATGTAGGTTGCTATTGGTTTCTAATTGTTATATTTAATAATGAGAATAATATTTAATTGTTGAGTTGAAAAATGTGAAAAGTTTATAGACTTAAGAATTAATAAAACAATTCTAAAACTTAAAGATTAAACTTGAAAAGAAACTTGAATTGTAGCTTGGCTTGAAAATAAAACTTTTTTAAGCTTGAACTTGAAAAATAAGTTTGAAGTTAAAAAGGAAACAAACTTAAGTTTGAAAATAAAACTTTTAAGATTGATCTTAAAAATGTAAAGTTTAAATATGGCTTGAAAATAAACTTGAAAAGGAAACTTAAGTATGAACTTAAATATTTAAGTTGAAGCTTAAAAACGAGGAAATTTTATAAAGTAAAATTAGAAAATAAAAACTATACAATTATAAATTGGTATCAAATAACTTAATAATTTTAAATTAAATATTTAAAAATAGAAATTTATATGTATAAGTAGAAATTAAATTTAAAAAAATTTAATTATTTCTAATTTTTAAAAATCAAGTCTGGAAATAAGAGAAGTAAAGGAAAAATTTTTTGGGTAGAAAAATGAATGAAAAAAATTTTTTTTTATTAATTTAAAGTAAAAAAATTTGAAACTGATGTGAGACAAAAATTATTTTTTCAAAAATGAGGAAAAAAATTTTTAAATAAAAATTGACAGGGAAATAAAATAAAAAAATAACAATAAGTAAAGTAAATAAAAATAATAATCGAAGTGCATAACACTTCAAAAGTTAAAGGAAATGCATGAAAATAAAAAAAAATTGGCCTTCAGTCGCTCTGTAGTAGTTAATGGGAAAAGAACAAAATAGCAAAAAGTCGATAAAACAAATTTTAGAAGCAAACAAGTTGGTAATAAGTTGGAAAAAAAGTTGAGGAAAAAAGTTGAGGAACAAGTTGGAAAAAAGTTGGGAAAAAGTTGGGAACAAGTTGGAAACAAGTTGGAAAAAAGTTGGGAAAAAGTTGGGAACAAGTTGGAAACAAGTTGGGAACAAGTTGAGAAAAAAGTTGAGGAACAAGTTGAGAAAAAAGTTGGTAAAGGCTGAATAAGTTGGAATATTTTAAGGAAACATTAGAGTCTTAGAATTTTAGTTGAAAAATGAAGGAGAATTTTAGAAAAAATTAAAATAAATATTTTAGGGAGTTTTTAGTAAAATCTAAAAATTATCCACAAAAATACTTGTTTTTAACACCTTCAATTATAATTATTTTTTAAATTATTTTCTGCATAGGAAGGTGGAACTAAAATAAAATTTTAGAAAAAAAACTTCCTCCTTTTTTCATTCATTTATTTTCCTCAATTTACTCGAAAAAATTATTTTAATAGAAAAAAAAAAATAAGCTTGCGTGCGAATTAAGTAAACAATTGAAACAATAGTGCATACTTCCCCCACGCTTAAAAAGGGGGAATAAAAAATTTAGAGAGAGAAAAGAAATGACGCCATATTTTGAAGCTCTTTTAATAATATTAAATATTTAAATAATTTAAATGTTTGGGGAAATAAAAAAAATTTTTCTCGAAAGAAAAGAATTGTAAAAAGAAAAATCAGAAATAATAATATAGGCTTGAAAACTCAACTTAAAAATAAAACTTAAGATTGATCTTGAAACTTAAGATTGATCTTAAAAATTAATAAAGTTGGAAAAAAGTTGGAAAAAAGGCTGATAATTGTAAAAACAAGTTGGAAAAGGCTGAATAAGTTTTAAAAAGTTTGAATAAGTTGCAAAATGCTTAATAAGTTGGAAAGGCTGAATAAAATGTAAAACTTAAACAAGTTGGAAAAAAAAGTTTTTAAGAATGCTTAATAAGTTAGAATATTCTAATTAAACATTAAAGTCTTAGGAATTTTAATGCAAGCGCGCATAATTATTTTATTTTTAAAAATTTAATTTTTAAAAATTTTTTAAATAAAAATACACTTTGCCAACACATTTTTTACCAATTTTAAAATTATTGTTAAAATTCTTAGCCTACCACAGCACTGTGTGAACGGCGTTGTCTTTGTTGTCTTTTTTGTTGAATTAATAATTGTTGACAGTTACAGTGACAAACACTGACACGTTTAGAACGGTGATTTTCATCTTGCCCTTTATTTTGTTGTTGTTGTTGAGAAAAAACAAATTCTGATTCGTTTGTTGGTGGTGTATCTGCTTCGCATTCTGAGCAACAAGTGCTGGATCTGAAAGACGGAATGGGTGATTTCTAGATATAAGTACAAAATGTCAGAGTGGCCAGATGTCATAATGACCAAATGTCAATATGACAAAAAGTCAAATAGACAAATGTCAGTGACAAAATACCAAAAGAACAAAATGCCATGGTGACAAAACGCCACAAGGTGATCATGAAACAAAGTAGTTAATGCCAGAGTTCCTATCCTTATTCGGCATTAAAATAGAAGGGATGGGGTAAAATTGGCATTTTGTCGAAAACCTTTTTTCAGTGAAAAGGGGAAATATATATTAACCTTGATCTAACAGAAACGCATTGATCTGGACAGCAAATGAGTGGAGAAAATAGGAGGGATTGATAAGAAGTATTTAATGAGATTGAAGAGTTTTCACTAACTGTAGAGGCGTAAGAACATCGTCGAGGTGGAGGAGAACATTCACGCATTGGGTCGGCATCGTCTTGGTCCAAAACTCTGGGGACCTTTTAAAGAAATTATTGAAATATTGGAGCAAGTTTATGATAATCTTTAATTATAGAAGAGATCTCGGGATTAGAATAATGCCCTTAAGTTAATTAATAAAATGCCCTCAGGGTATATTGGATATATAAATAGAGGTCGGATTTCCTTGACTCTTCTTGGATCAGTCATCTTAAAAGCACCTTTACAAAATTTTTTTTGATTTTTCCTAGACTCAGGAACAAGAAGCTAGTCATGGTCGCTAACCGAAATGTCAAGGTCATAAGTATCAAGATCTAGAATATCTCTTGAGTTGGATCGGATCGGGTTTCGGGTCGAAAATAAATCCAGGTCTGTGGGTATCGAGTTTGTAACACAACCTATCCTTTTTACACCTAAAAACACAAGCACCTGTAACAACAAGGAATCCTCAATTGGCCTAAAATAATTTTCATATCCAGGTTGTGCCCAAAAAGGGACTGGAGCTCTTCCTGAATTTTCATCAGGCGATTGAAGTGCAAATTCTGGAGGGCTAGGAGGGTCGAGGGAAATTTGGATAACTGCCAATCTTTCAGCAAAACGTCTCATACGTGGAGAGGTTGAGGGTAATCCTCCTGTTGTTGTTGTTGGTGGTTGCTTTATTAATCCAAAATCCATCTGGTCTGAAGCTGAAAAATGTGTTTTTAGTCGGCATTTTGAGAGCATTTTCATATTGGGGAACATGGGAATTTCGGAATTAGGATGCTTCGAAATGTGGACATTTTGTCGTTGGGACATTTTGGTATTTGAGCATTCTGGTTCTGGACTTGAAATTTGGACATTTTTCAATCTTACCCAATAGTCAAAAAATAAAAAAAAATTTCCAAAAATATGAAACCCATATTTCTGAGCTTTAGAATGCTAATTTAAGGAAAATTCTGCTTGAATATTGAGAATATCCCATAAATTACATAAAATCCACACCTTGTTCTTCCCTTATTCTTCCATCATTATTAACTATATTCGAATTAATTACTGTAGAATTTAATAAAAGAGATTTTCTTCTTCTAGCAGGTAAAGGTGGGGGTACTGGGGGTCTGGGAGGTTTTAAAATTATTTTTTGTTGGGGTTGTTGTTGCCCGCTAGTTGAGGGTCTTCGACTACTGCTAGCTGTAGTTGCTGCAGTTAATCCTCCAACATTTTCAGATTTTTGTTGTTTGTTTGGCGTTCTGTTTATTTGTAATTTTTCCATTAAATATTAGCTTCAAAATGAGTGAAGAAAAAAATTTTTTTGGTCAAAATTTTCTTAAAAAATAGTTAAAAGTGGTTATTAGAAGAGAGAGAAAGAGAAAATAGTGTGTAAATATAAGAGAGACAATTTAATAATTACATATTTATTTTTAATAATTATTAATTAATTACAAAATATATACAAAAATAAATATTTAGAGCCCAAAAAATTTTCTTAGAAAAATTTCTGCAAAAATAAAAATAACTCTTTCACATTTGCAGGCAAAAAAACTAAAGATTAAAATATAAAGGGGTATTGTTATTATTTCTTTCTTATTTTTACTCATTCCCCCTACAAACTCCTTTTAAAAATTAAATATTCTCGAAGATAATAGAGTTACTTATTATCTATTTTAGGAAAAATTTTTGAAAATTTTTTTAAATAATAATTTCTCAAATATAAATAATTTTAGTTGAGGGCATTTCGAGCTATTGACTATTTTGAAATCGTTACTCAAAAATTTTTTAGGTGACACTAGAGTTGAAGAAGATCAATTAAAATCCTATTGTTCCTAATTTTGAATGGGCCATTCTATTTTAAAATACCCCTAAAAAGGGCCATTCAATTGGAAGGGTCATTCAAATAGAGGCAGACGTTCAATAAGAATGAATACGGTAATTTATAAGGGTATTGAAGCATGATCCAAATAACTCGAGTCTAAAGCCATGTTTAGAATTCTGATGTGCTTTTAAATCTTTGGAAGAGGGATGAAAAAATTATTTTTTAAAATTAAATTTAGAAAAATTCTCCCCTCACCCCCCCCCGTCCCGGCATTTTTTTCTTTCGTTTTTTCTTTTTTAAAATTAAAGGAAAGAGTTAAACCACTTTTCTCTCTTAATTTTGGCAAAAAAAAACGAATTATGTATTAAATAGAGAGAAAAAGCAGCTGGTATAAAATATATGTAAAAATAAATAATAATATACTACAAAGCTTTAGTCAATCAATCATTTTTATATAAATACATGGAAAAAAATTTTTTGAGCGGAAAAATGCCAAAAGGGTTTGGCATAAACAAAATCCATAAATATAAGCTTCCATTTACACCCTTTAATATATGGGGATATAAACTCCCGCGTGAGACAAAAAATAGGAAAGTCATAAAAGGGGGGACCTTGGAGTCTGAGAAGCATTTTAAAAATATTTTTCCAAAGAAGGATAGGCGAGGGGGGGGGGTTGAGGAAAAGAATTTTACATACCCCCGTGAAAATTGCTCTCTGCCCCTTTTAGATCAGAAGAGGGGGGGCTAGGTATATATAAAAGTGCTTAATTCTGAGTAAAGAGTAAGGGGGGGTGGGGGCATTAGAGTCTGAGTTGTTTAAATAGAGCTCTCTCAGTGACCAAACAAAATAAACCAAGATTTGCGTACTATTAGAGAGTGTAAGAGAGTGACATCTAACCTAGAAACTAATTGTTTTAAAGCTCTTTTTGAACCGTGTAGCACCCAGCCATTGAAGAATTTTTATTTAATGTATTTAGGTGACAAATAATTTTTTAAATTAATTAATATGACAGCAAATGACATGTACTTTTTTAAAAAAGTATATTTTATGATAGTTAAGAGTGGAAATTATATACATACATGTTGGACTTAAAGTTAGTTCTGGGAAGTAGCAATGAAGCCGGGGATTTTTTTCTACTCAAGAAGTGACATACTACAATTGAAGTTCAAATATTGTATGTACTAGTGATGTTCGAGACTCTCGGTCTCGACTCTCGAGTCGAGAAATTTCTCGGGTTTTTTGAGCTCTCGGTCTCGGTCTCGGTCTCGGTGTTTTGGTCTCGGAAAACGAGACTAAATTTACACCCCTAATGACGGAAATTTTTTGAACTTTACTCGGACCTTGCGTACTTTGATATTAAAATTTTTAAGGAAAAGTCTCCAAAATTCCCAAAATTTTGCCTGCGGCGCTGAAAAATGGAAGAAATCTGGCTTCTTGAGCTCCAAAATTCTCAAAATTTTCGCCTGCGGCGCTGAAAATGGAGGAAATTTGGCTTCTTGAGCTCCAAAATTCAAAAAATTTTCGCCTGCGGCGCCAAAAATGCAGCAAAAATTTGAATTTAATAAGATTAAAGGATTAGATTTTGTGGTTTGTGGTATATTAGATACTGTGGATTCTGAAGGATAAAATTTAATATCAAGGGATGGGTGCATCGATGGATCAAAAAGATATTGTTGGATTTGTAGGGATATGGAAGGATATGAGGGGATTTTAAGAGATTAATGTGAATATCATTGAATATATATTGTGGACAAGTGGATTCAAGCGAGTATGGGGATTTTGAGGTATATCAAGGGATTTTTGGGGATTAGGAGGGACATCAAGTGATATCCCTCTTAATCTCTCGGTCTCGACTCTCGGTCTCGACTCTCGACTCTCGTTTTGGTCTCGGTCTCGGGGTTGATTCTCGGTCTCGGTCTCGACTCTCGACTCTCGGGATTTTTTGACTCTCGAACATCACTAGTATGTACTATGTAAAAACGCAAAAAAATTTTTTCACAGAATTTTACAATTAAAAGTCTAAAATCTCGTTTAACACATCTCTCTCCTTTGTCAGATCCGAGAGATTTGTTTTTTAGAGAGATTTCTTTAAGGTATTGTAGTCACTTCTTGGGTAGAAAAAATCGTCTTTCTCTCTCTCCCTTTGATCTTTACAGTTCGGTAATGTATTCAACTAGAGTGAAAAAAAAACGATTTTTTTTCAAAATATTTTTTAAAAACAAAAATTTGTAACATTTTTTAATTGGATAGTGTAGAACAATAATAATAAAATAATAATAAATAAATAAAATTATAATGACGTTTACCCTCTGGGGAAAAACGTGTGTGCAAAAAGGAAAAAATAAATTAGTAAAATAATAATAAAAATGTTGCCTAGATTTTTTTATTTTTTTCAACTTCCTGTAAATAATAATAGTATAAAATAATTTTTAAAATTTGAGAGAGAGTGAAAAAAAATAATGGCAACATTTCACCGATTATTTATTTTGAAAAATGATCAGAAGTGGAAAGGATTCAAGTTGGGTCAATATCAACATATATACATATATATATTACAGCAAAATTCAATTTAGGATTTTTTGAAATAAGGCTGGCTATGGGGGGGGGGGAGAGGGGAGGAGGGCAGTTATCTAAGCCCCCATTCAAAATACCCCCCATTATAAAGTGCAAAATTTTTTCAAACTTAAGGGGATCTTTTTTATATCGAGACTCAAGTGTGTTTTATTAATAGAGTTATACTCCCTCCATTTTATGTATCCCTTATTATAAGGTAATATCTTTTCTACCTTAAGGGGATTAGGTAGCTTATAATGAGCTTCGACTGTACGTATTTGAGAAAAATCCAAGTAATTTTAGAAATTCAAAAAAAAATGCAGCTGGCAACCCTTCTCCCCTCTTTTACCCCTATTTAGACAAAAAAATATTTAAAAGAAAAACGAATGCCAAAACCGCTTTTCTTTCTCCTCTCTCTCCCTTTCTCCTATGTAGCTATTATTTATTTAACGTTTTTGTGGATGCTTCCAAACGGAAGGGGAGGAAAAAAAGAGATTTTTTTCGAAGCTACTAATTTATTTTCTTTTTTTATTTACTCGTTCTCTCTTTTGTTGTTAGAAAATGACATTTTACAAGTTTCGAACATTTAAACCTTTGAAAGGGTACAAAATGGTCAGTAATGGAAATATTTCGTTTTGGTCAATTTCGATTTTGGTTTCGCCTTTCGATTTGGATCAAAATTTCAAAATGTCAATATTTAAGGGGCATAAATTTAAAATGATTTGGAATTTATTTTTCGAATTATTTTTTACAAAGAAAATTAATTTAAAAAAGGAGTCCTTAGTTATACATACATACAATATTTTACATATCCCCCCTGTCAGTATCCTTTATTGGCCAACATATAAAATTAGAAAAATTGTTTTAAAAAATATAAAAATACAAGTAAAATGTGTTGTGAGAATAAATATCTGTCTGTTTTTTCCCCAAAAAAAATTTTTTTGGCCTAAATGCATTAGTATAATTAATTTATATGTATGATAGGCACAGATGGGTACAAAAAAAAGTAAGGGAAAGTGTATGTGTATTTTATGAAGAAGATAAATTGATGATGAGTACATATTTAGTGAATTAAACACGTCCAAGTAGGAATATTAAAATGGATATATATGCTAGTAGAAGCTATTTAGAAACAAAAAAATCTTCGAAAATTGGAAATCGAAAGACGAAATTTCGAAACAGCTTATCAGAATGGACATGGATTTTGGTATCCGGATATTTATGGCGGATACAGACGGATATACGCAGGCGTTTTGAACTTATCCATATCCGTATCCATTACCGTGCCTGCAGATTATTTCGAGTTTCGTCTTTCGCATTTTATAGCCTTTATTGGGGTTTCGTATTTCGTTCCTGAATATAATTTCGTTTTTCATCTTTTCGCCTAGCATATTTAAAATCCATTTAGGCACACCCCGAATTCTAAATCATAAAAACTAACCAGCATTCACAAAATTGGACATAAAAGTACATTTTTATAGGAAAAAATTAAAAGAAAAAAAGTTTTAAAAAATCCAGTAAAATTCTAAAAATAGAACAGTTTCTAGAAAGAATTTTTAAAAGTACATCTTTCAAATTAGATAGAAAATTTAAGAAGACAAGTAACACAACGTTTTTCGTGATAAAATTAAATTAAAAAGCCGAAAAAAGGGGATAAAGCGACATTTGTAGACAGAAGACATTTGTGGACACCTATTGAGCTTCCTAAATACATCATAAAATTAAAATGTATTTCCAAAATGTGTTATCAAAATATAACTTCATTATATTTTGAAAAGGTTGAAAGTTGTTCTTTAGGGTTGAAACTTGCTGTATATTATAATGAGGTGTATCGTAAATAGGGGGTATGGCTTAGGCAACATCCTCATCCCGTGGACTACTATTAAATGAGAAAAAACGATGAGATAATGTAGACTGCATATATATGAGTAGTTTTTTATTTAATATCCTGTAAAAATCCCAATAAAAGCCATGGGCGTTTGTTCCTCATGGAGATGGTTTTATTGGAGATAGAGGGCTTGGGCTTGTATTGGAAATGTGATTGATTTAGGATGGGTTACTAATAGGGATAGGCTTATATTGGATACGGGCTTTTATTGGATGGGCTTTTATTTGTCCGCAAATGTCGCGAGATTAACAAAGAAGCTTAATTTTCGAAATACTTAAAGTGGGACTAAAATAGCAATTTAAACGAGGAAATATTATTAAATAAAAATTAATTAAATATTTTTAAGTAAAAATTAATAGAAAAATGAGGAGGAAAAGTACAAAAAAAGTTTTAATTAATTTTAAAGAGGGGGAGAGAGAGAACAAGAAGTGGCCTTTCCTCCCACCTAGCATTTTTTAAAAACTTTAACAAATAAATAATTAGTAGGTAGCTAGTATGTAATGATTAACCAATTGGTTGTTTTAATGACTTGTATTTAATTAATTATTTTTTTTAAATTAAAGGTTAAATAAAATGTTGGTGTGTTTAAAACAGCTGTTATTTTAAACAAAAAAAGGAGGAAGGAAGAAAAATATAGGGAAGAAGGAAATTTTTGGAAAATATTTTTGGGAGGACTACATATACCTATATTAATTAACACAAATAAACAAAATTTTAATTGGTTTAGGGTAAGTGACTATTAACGTCAAAGCTCGTTCATATATATCAGGTGTGCCAGTTTCGCGTTTCGCCTAACACGGAATTTTGCTTTTTTGGGTTTCGGCATACCTATGATATATGTATACCCCCTCTACTCTTAAATAACCTTCCTTTTTATATAAGATTTAGCCCTAAGTATACATTTAAGAACGAGACCCGTCTGTAAATTAATTTTAAAATTGTTTTAAAAAGTGTTCAAGAGTTAAGACATCCATTGAGTTTCTAAGGAAGAGGTTCCCCCCCCTTTTTTCACATTTCTTGGAGGTTAAGGCAAGTTGATAATTTATCTGTCCTAACCCCAGATTATTATTTAATACCTCCAATTTAAAAATGGCGTCATCTCCCACCTCAACATATTTTTTCTTACGAGAGAAAAGTAATAGCTATTGAAATCTCCATAACTCCCTTAAGAATGTTGAGGGACTTCTCAAAGCTAACCATATTAAAAGTTTTTTCCAATTTTAATTTTCAGGGTTTCCATTTTTTAATGTTTACAAAGCTTCATTTCCACAAAATTTTTCACAAAATTAAAAAATAAGGAGGAAGGTCTTCTCAATTTAACACCCATATATTCCCCTCCTCTCACACCTCTCGTTTTTGTCATGTGAGAGGAACTTTTAAAAGAAAAAAAGTTAAAAAAAATAAAAAAAATATTGCTTTGGACATGCAATTAAGATTAAAAAAAGGTAAAAAAAAGAGGGAAAAAATAAAAAAAAATTTTTTTGAGGTGTTTGGCACGAGTCTTTTTTAAATTATTAATAGAGTATTTTTATATGCCTTTTAAGACATGTTTAGACAGAAAAAAAATAAAAAATAATTCCGCTTGGTTTAAGTTGAAAGTTTTTATTTTTAATGTTAAATAAGGGGCTGGTAGAAAATACAAAAATAAAAATAGGTTTAGTTATTTAAAAGGGGGTTTTTAAAATATATAAACTTTTAAATAATGGTTGGGGTGTGGTTGACGTAAAAAAGGGGCACGAAAAATAAAAAGTTTAAAAAAATATTTAAAAATTATTTTTAAAGGTTTTTGGCATTTTGATTAAGAAAAGAAGTCTGCATAATCCTTCTTAGAAACCCTAAAAAATTTTTTTATTTTTTCTAACTTAGAAATGAATGAGATAGAAAGTCTCGTCCGATCATTTTTAATGTATAAGTGATTTATGTGGCTAAGATAAAAAATAATTATCAATTCTTGGAATCGGGAAGAATAGTCTCAAATCAAAACTCAGGATTACAAGCATTGGTCGTTTTAATTAGAGAGCGGACCTAGAAATTATCTAAAAAAATCTTTGGTATTGAGGTTAGGATTTTTTTAGATATCCATCTAGAGACCGCCCAGAGCGGTCTCTAATCTTAGAAGGACTAAAATTCACTAGATTATAGGTATAAAGTATGAGTAAAATCATAATTTCTAGTAAAGCAGCCCCTTTATTTAGTCCAATTTTAAGGATAAAAAAGTCAAAAGAATGAGGAAAAGAGGAAAGGGAGGTTTCAAAAAGAAAATAAACTTTTAGAAAAATAATTAATACATATTCCTCAATTTTACTAAGAATATTTTAAAGCCTTAAAGTCTGATTATAACGCGCAAAGGTTTCTTTATTAAAAAAAATTTTTTTTTGAATTTTCTTTTTCATTCAAAACTTCCATTAAAAATATCTCAAGTAAATATCCCCTCCCTATTAGTCTAAGGAAAAAAGTCAAGTGGAAAAAAGAAGCATTTAATGGCGTCAAAAAGAGATTAAAAAATGAAAAAGAAGAGATAAATACTTTGAAAATTAACTTTGGCATTTTTAAAAAAAAGAGGAGAGGGGAGATGTACTTAAAAATTAAAATAAATAGAGGACGTTTTAAGGGACAAAAACACGTAAAGTTTAATTAAAAATTCGCTCTTTTTAATTTTTTGAAATAAATATAAAGTCAGACTTTTCATGTATTTGGAAATCAAAAATTAAAAATTGAAGAAAAAAAAGTTTAGAAAACAAGAGTCAAAAATCGAAATTTCAAAGCAATAAAAACTAAACGTTAAATCTAGGATACATATCACACAAGTAGGGTCGGATTTTGTTTGTACGACAACTTTTGGCCAGAAAAAGATAGAAAGATCTAATTGTGTTTGATGTAAAAGAATGAAAGTAGAGGTTACTTTTTCGAAACTGTATCCGACATTTTTTATTAAAAAATTTAAGGAAATCTGGAAAGAAGGTCCTATAATTTTTAAAAAATAGTAGAGAATCCCTAAAATAGTAAAGGTAAAAATGAACGGATAAAAAAAATAAAAAAATCTGAGTTTAAAAATTTAAAAAAAATTTCTTTGAAATATAAATTTTATTTATTTTTGTAGTTTAATAAAAAAAACAAAAATAATATAAAGCAAAAATAAATTTATTTTTTAACAAAACAACAAACAACAAAGGCTTCTTATTAGCTTTTAAAAGAATTTTAAAAAATTGGAAAGTGAAGATAAGCTACTAAAAAGGAAGATTTATTTTTGTGTTTTTACTTGTTATTTTTATTAAGCCCTGTTTTGGCATTGAAAAAAATTTTTTTTAAGTCTAAAAAATATATTTGTGAGTGGGTGGAGTACAATAAAAAATTTTTTAAAAATAAATTTAGTTTGGAAAAATCCTAGTACGATTTTTGAAAAAAAGTAAAGGAAAAAATTTTTTTAATAAAAAAATAAATTTTAATATATTTTGTAGTTTGAGTTATTATTTTATGTTACATTTATAGAAAATAACGGAAGATAATCAAAACGAAAAAGAAAATAAATTTTATATTTTATAGGAAAAAGTGTTTTCCGTTTTAATTTTTTATTTTTCTAAAATCAGAAAAAAATTTTTTATTATCAGAATTAGCTTATAATAATTTTTTAATTTCCGGAAAATTATTCTGAAATGACTGGAAAAAGGGAGAACCTTTAAATATAAAATAGTTTCCGGAAAACAATTCCGGAAAAGAATAAAAATTATTTTAGGAAGAAGGGAAAAACAATCAGAATTATTTTCAGAATTTTCAGAATAACACACCTACACATTTTTAGTGGGTTGGGGTCATAAGGGCGCGGGGCCATTAGGGCGCCAGCACTAGAAACTGACACTTAAGCGAAAATGAAATTGATCAAAATTTTCTCAAATTTCTTTAACATCATTGACTACCTCCTCCAGAAATTTCAGAATTTTTCATCGAATATTTCTGAAGTTATAGTCGATAAACTCCGAAAAATTAGTGTTTTTTCGAAAAATCAACATTTTTGGCCACAATTTCCGAAATTTTTGATCAAAAATTCTGAAATTTTTGGAGAACGTAGATAAAGGCATGGGAGTTGTTATTGTAAAATTTTATCTTTTTTGATAAGCAACTCACTGTTTTATAAGCTCGCGCCTTAATGGCCCCGCGCCCTAATGGCCCAGTCCCATTTTTAGTTTCCGGAAAGATTAATCCGGAAAAGAATAAATACATAAAATAGTGAAGAGAAAAAGAAGAGAAAAAGAGAGAAAACAAAAGAAATACGGAAAATATTTAAAAATAGTTTTTTTTCGAAAAATGAAAATTTTTGTGTGAAAAATTTTATTTTTAAAATTTTATTAAAAAGAAAAATGTTAAAAAAATATTTCTTTATTTTAATTATAATTTTCTCATTATTTTAAACTAGTAAGCTTTTCCGGAAAAGAGCTTTCCTGGTATTACAGGGATTTTAATAAAATTTTTCTAAATTTTAAAATTAAAATAAGAAAAATAAAAATTAAAAATTAAATATAAGAATTTTAAAAAAAATTAAAAGAAAAAAACTAGCAATAAATATTCCCCTCCAAATTCTCACCAAAAATTCACACACGTTTTTATTCCCCATATAACCCTGAAAATTAAAAAAAAACAGTTGTTCTTTCTTAACAATTTTTAAAAAATTAAACAAAAAAAGAAATATGAAACTTCTTTATTTTTATTTTTTAAACAAAATTTTTTTAACCTTAGGCATTTTGTCCCATGGAAAATAAAAAAATTAAACTTTCCGATTAGAGAAATGGTACATAAAGAATTAATTTAAAAATACAATCCGGAAAGAGATAGAGAATTCCGGAATAAGTGAATAATACCGGAAAAGAATAAATATTTTCAAGAAAAAGAGAAAAAAATCAGAATTATTTTCAGAATTAATTTTTTCCTAATATACATCAGAATTATTAACGCAAGAATTAATTTCAGAATACTTTCAAATTTATTTTTATGTTTAAATTAAATCAGAATTATTTTTATAATTAAAAAAATAAATTCCGGAAAGAATGAGAATATTCCGGAATAAGTGATAGAGAATATATAGATGATTTTGATAAATTAAAAAATAATTTTTTAATTATAAAAAAATATCAAGAATTTTAAAGTAAAGACAGGAAAGAAAATAAATTGTAAACAAATGTGAGAAAGATTTTTTCAAAATTTTAAAGCTATTTTCGAAAAGCTTGAGAATAACCATTAATTTTCAATAAATATTATCTAAAAATTAAAACCTGTAAATAAATTAATTAGTATGATTAAATAAAAATATATTTAAATTAATTTAATTTTCAAATTTTTGTATTGGCAAAGTGTATTTTAAAAATTTTAAAAAATTAAATAAAATATTAACGCGCATTCACAATAAAAATTAAAAAGGCTATCGTTGAATTTATTAATCTAGTAATTTTTAAAAAAATTTCTTTTTAATTTCAACAGTCAGAAATCTTTAAAAATATCAAAATTTCATTTTTTAAAATTTTTTATTTAAAAAATTATTATTAATTTTAAATTTTAAAAAATTTATTATAATAATAAATTCAAGGATACCCAAAAAATATTCTTCTAAAAAAATCCACCCACCCCTAAAAACGGACTCAAAGCACAAGTTGAACTGCTTGTAGTGACGTTGTTTTTAGGCGAATTTAATAAAATAAATAATTGTGAAGTTGAACCAGAAAAAGAAGCTGGGGAGAAGCGAATAGGTGAGGGGGAGGAAGGGGAATAATAAGAGGAAGAATTATTTGAAGAAGAGGAGAATAAAGCCCTCAAAGGGGAATGTGTTGGGACTGTTGTTGGGTTGGGTGTTGTTGGGGTTGTCAAAGTTGGCATTTCGCGAACAGAAATTAATGGAAGGGGTGTTGGGACTGGAAAATTAAAGGGAAAATTAAAAATTAATCAAAAAATAATTTTTTTAATTAAAAAATTAAAAGTATAGGCTCCTTTTAGATGATAAACACAGAAACAAGGCCTAAATACTAACTCATTTTTTGTCTAACCCCAATCCGAAAAATTCCGAAAAAATAGATGTGAGAAACATACAAGTGAGAGTTGAAAAGAGTTGAAGTTAGAAAGCATCTAAATCAATCCGGAAAATTCCGGAAAGTACATGTATATTTACATTAAAATAAGAAGTATGAGTCTGAGAAAGTATAAATTAGAAAGTATCTGAATATGAGAGAAATATTCCGGAACATTTTGATATTTAAGTATTGATAAACTTACTTCTCCTCCTAGCTATTATAGAAGACGAATTTGGCTGTGAATTTGTAGGCATTGCAACTGTTGTTAAATGTTGTGGGGGTTGCAGTAAATTTGAAGAGGAAGACTTTGGAGGGGCTAAAAAGAGAAAAAATTTAAAGGGTAACTTTTTCCTTAAGGGTTCTCGTCTAATAAAAATCAACTACCTATAGCCTCTACAAGCGGCGATGAAGCACTCATACACAACGGCGACTTTGGTGGGGGAATGTAATTAGCAGCTAATAAAGTTGGAAGGGCTGTAGGGGGTGATTGGGGGTGTTGTCGTGACGAAGACATTTTTTGTTTGTTGTTTTTGTTGAGGAGTGAATTTAAAAATGTATTAGAAGACTCTTAAAATTAATAAAAATATTTAAAATAGTATGTAGAGGAAAGTGATAAAAAAATCACAAAAAAATTTTAGGAGAAATAGTGCGGTAAAGGATGAGAGAGGACAGATCGGAGCGTTTCAACTGTGTTAAGGCCCTATATCTCAAGAAGGGATGGCCACTTCTCCATGTTTTTGGTACCAATGGATAGAGCATTAAATTGACTACAAGATACCAAAAGATAGAAACGTTAGATTGATTGATAAAAAAGTTAAGATCTAAAAACTAGCTCTTCAAAAAAATCTGATTTTTTGCCACTTTATCAACCATAACTTTTTAGGATTTATAAAATAAATGTTGAATTTTTGGGATATTATAGCGTTTTTAATGCTCCATTGAATGGTACCAAGAACATAAAGATGAGACCATCCCTTCAAAAGTTATAGAGTTCGGGACTCAGTTGTGTTGGGACTCTGTTGAGATGTACCCTGGATAAATATTATTTAAAAATACATGCCAGAAATAAATTAGGAACAAATTTAAATTAAAATTTTGACAATAAAAATATTTAAAAAAATAAAATTAACAATTAACTTTTATCATTAAAAAAAATTTTTTTTATTAAATAAATATTTAAATAAAGAGAATTAATTTTTATGTAAAAGATAAGAAAGAAAAATACACAAAAAAGAATTAATATTTAATTTACATTTTTTGCTCTTTTTTAGTTGTTCTCTAATCTAAATTTTTTTTGTTGTTTTCCCAATTTTTTGAAAATATAAATAATAAATTTTTAAACAAAGAAACCCCCAAAAAATTTTTTTTTCAATTTTTAAAATTAATTTAATAAAATAAATAGATTAAAGTGTCTAGAACCTCAGTTTAGTTCCACTTTAATAACTTTTTAACTAATTATCCGATTTAAATGATATTGGTACCATTCAATAGAAGATTGAATTTGCTACAAAATAAGCCAAAAAAGAAAAAAAGATTACACAAGGAAGAAAAGTTCTGGGCGAAAAACTACTAAAAATGCATATTTTTGTCGAAAACTGTCCGTTTTTTAACCATAACTTTTCTATCAGAGAATCCAAAATTTTAATTTTTTGGTGATTTATAGTAAATTTAATTCTCTATCGAATGCTACCAAAATTGTCAAAATCGGTTCATCCTTATTTGAGTTATTAACTCAGGAGCACTCTTACATCCTCTCAAGAAGCTACTTACAAAACGAAAGCCAAAATCTCCTAGTAAAATTTATACAAAAGTAAATTATAAATAAATAAGAGTCAAAAAATTGAAAAAGCATTCCATCCTTGTCTAGAAGAACGGAAATGAAATTAAAAATGCGTAGAAGAAAACAAAAGAAGTGTAAAAAGAGAATGTCTCTCTTATTTTTCAGTGCTATTTTCTGTTTCTCTAATAAGAGTGCATATAAGCAATTCTCATTAAAAATTAGGTGAAAATGAGAACATGTAAAGCAAATATGTAAATAAAGGAATGGAAAATAAATTTTTTAAGGAATTTTTTGTTCTTTATTTTTGGCTTTTAAAAATATTTTTCTGAAAAAATTCTATTTAAATTAGTTTAGAGAGAAGTGTCAAGTGCATGAGATAGATGTGTTCGAGAGCATTTTTAAATAGAAGGGAGATTAGTTAGAAATGTGAAATTTTGTAAGGATATAGCTAATAAGGTTATTTAAACGCTCTGAAATTTTCAGAATTTTTTATTAAAAATTTCAGAACTTAATGTTGGAAAATCAGAATTTTCCAGTGAGACGTATTCGAGAGCATTTTTTAAATAGAAAGAGATAAGCTAAAATTGTGAAATTTTGTATGGACGTATATAATACTATTATTTAATCATTCTAATATTCTCAGAATTTTTGGATAATTATTTCAGAACTTAAAATCAAAAAATCAGAATTTTCGCATAAAATTTGGATTTTTAATAGCTTTTCTCTACCAGAAAATTCAAAAATAATTTTTTATTGAAAAATAAATTTTTAAAATCTCAACTAGACATATTTTTACGTGTTTTGATAAAAATTTTGCCCTTTTTGAATAAACTATAAGCCAAAAAATAAATTGACTTAACCCTCCAAATTCTTTTATTTTCACCCATTTCCCGCCTATTTAATTCTTTTCTCCCAATTTCTTTGGATTAAAAAAATTTGGGAGGAAATTTTATTTACGTGAATTGGCTAAGAAAAAAGGGGAACGGCTTTTTTAAAGTAAAAATTATTTTGGAATATTCTTTCGATTTTTAAAGCCGCTTAAAAGGTTGGAGAATTAAATAATAAAGGGGACAGTTGAATAAAAAGAAAAGAAATACAAAATCAGAATTAAAATCAGAATTAAAAAATACAGTTCAAATAATGCTAGAAAGGTGTTTAAATTAGGTTGGAAAAATATCAGAATTAATAAATAAAAACCAGAATTAATTACAAGAATAAAAATCAAAATTAAATACCAGAATTAGTGAAATAAGCGATCAGAAAAAAATCAGAATTTTGGAAATACAATGTAAATATCAGAATTAAAAAATCAGAATTATTTAAATAAAAATCAGAATTTTAATTAAAATAAAATAAAAAATCAGAATTATGAAATACAGAAAAATACAAGTAACAGAAAATGAAATACAAAAACAGAATTAATTAAATAAAAATAAAGAACAACATAAAAAATGTTAAAATAATTGGCACCATTTGTGGAAGGAAAATAAATATTAAACAAAAATAAAAATAAATTTAGCATTGAGGAAAAATAAATTGGAAAAATAATAAGGCCAGAAATAGAAAAGGGAATATTTTTATGCAAAAAAATTTCTTTAATTTAAAAAATTTCTTTAATTTTATAAAAATTTTGGATGTGCTATGTATATGTATGTAGTACCAAGATTTGAAAAATTTTTAAAAATCCAAAAAAATTTTATTTTAAAAAATAAAAATGATGGCATTTTTGAAGATGTTTATTTCAAAGAAATATTATGCCCTTATTATATTTTTGCGCGTGATACAATTTAAGTGGAGGTAAGGGGCGGATCCCACGCTTACATGCGGAGTGGAAGCGACGTGAAAATTGTAAAATGATACTCTATAGCTAATTAAAATATAAATATTTGTTGAGAAAATAATTTTGTTAAAAATAAAAATTTTTGAGGCATGAAAATTTAAATGATTGTCAAGGTCGTTAAAGGTGTGAGGACTTGGGAGCAAAAGTCAAAAAATTATAAAATGGCTAAAAGTGCACGTAAAATTCTGAAATTTTGCATGGTGATCCTCAAACAGTTAACTAATCTGACTTAAAATTTCAGAATTTTAAATTAAATATTTCAGAATTTATGAGTGAAAATATCAGAATTATGCTGGAAAACACCTATTTTTTGTGGTTTTTCAACAGTAACTTTTGAAATAAAAAACCAGAAATTCTGAAACTTTCAGGCAAGCTAAGTAATTCTTTTGAAAATGAGTGTGCAAAATTTAAGAATTTTAGAGAAAGTATTTTAGAATCTATGGACCAAGTGTCAGAATTAGCGCACAAAATGATACTTTCTTGTAGGTTTTCAACAATAACCTTGGAAATACAAAACTAAATATTCTGAACTTTTTATAGAGGTTAAATAATCCTTACGGGATTGTCTAGCAAAATTTCAGAATTATGGGTTCTCGTTAAAGAATTTTATAACATCGGAAACTCATGCTGTCTACAGCCTCAACGTCCCCACAGAAACCTTATCTTTAAAAATTCAAAAATTAAATTATTATAGTAAAAATATTTTTTATATCATAAAATAATTATTTGAACTTTAAAAGGACAGATTTAGTTCAGGAAATAAATTTTTAAAAAATATATATAATTTAAAAGTTGTTGACAAATGACTACTACAAACAACACCCTCTCTTTTAACTTTTTTTCAATTTCCCATCAAGTTTGTGATGAGTAAAAGCAATTTGATATGTTTTTGTGTATTGCAGAGTGTAATAAAATAAAAAATATATTTATTGGGAAATTGAAAAAATATTTTTTTATTATCATCTTTTGGCTATTTAATAAGGCTATTTGTGGTTAAACGTTAATTAAAATTAAATACAGTGCCGGAAAAAAAGATAGGACCAGAGGCTGTTAAATTAGTTTTTAGTGATTATCTCTTTTCGATTAACTTTTAGAAAAAAAGTTTCAGCACAAAAATTGTAGATCTTTAAATGCTCTTTAAAATGAGTATGAAAATCAATATAATTTACTGACAAAATTTTTGCTAAAAATATTTAAAAACACTACCCCATTTTTGGGGTGGAAAAAAAGATAGGACCAGACTAGAAATATCGACTTTTGTTCGGTCAAAAATTCTATAAAAATTTTTGTGAACATTTCCATCGATGCTGAGTTGAAAATTAAAAAGAACGAAGTCCGTAACTTATTTCTTCATCGAGATCCCAAATCTCAAAAATCAACGGAAAACAGGGGTACAGTACTTTAAAAAATATTTTAACCCCCTAGAGCTTAAATTAAAAATTTTATTTTATGCCTATCTGAAAGCCCATAAAATTTGCTACAATATTATTTCATGATTAAATTTTTTGTTAAAAAATTCATGGAGATAAAGACCGACAAATTGAAAAAGTTATCATTTCTGGGGTATTTTGGGAGATTTTGAGCATTTTTAATATAAAGTGGACTAGAGTTAAACAGATATTTTTTTAGAAAAATTAATTTCCGGACTATTTTGTAGCAAATTTTATGGGCTTTCAGATAGGCATAAAATAAAATTTTTAATTTAAGCTCTAGGGGGTTAAAATATTTTTTAAAGTTCTGTACCCCCATTTTCCGTTGATTTTCGAGATTTGAGATCTCGATGAAGAAATAAGTTACTGACTTCGTTCTTTTTAATTTTCTACTTAGTATCGATGGAAATGTTCATAAAAATTTTTATAGAATTTTTGACCGAACAAAAGTTGATATTTCTCGTCTGGTCCTATCTTTTTTTCCACCCCAAAAATTGAGTAGTATTGTTTAAAATTTTTTTGATAAAATTCTGGCGATAAAGTATACCGATATTTATACTCATTTTAAAGAGCACTTAATGGCCTAAAATTTTTGTGTTGAAACTTTTTTCCTAAATGCCATTAAAAAAGAGATAAGCGAAAAAAACTAAATTAACAGCCTCTGGTCCTATCTTTTTTTCCGGCACTGTAAATACAAAACAAGAATTATTAAAATATAAAAATCAGAATTTGTAAAATCAGAATTTTTTAAAACAGGAAATAAAAATCAGAAAATTCTGATTTAAAGATCAGAATTAAAAATAAGAATTACTAATATACCAGAATATACATACCAGAAAAACAGAATTATTAGAATATAAAAATCAGAATTTTACTATTCGTATTAAATTCAGAATCATATTTTAAAAATTAAGAATCATAATGTTGAGAAAATACTAAAATCAGTATCTACATAAAATAAAAATATGAAAACCAGAAAAAGTCATGATTTAAATTATGAAAAATATTTTTTATTAAATTAAAAAAAATAAAATGAGAAATTATTATTAGAGTGAGTGAATTTGTGTGAAATCATTTTAAAAGTAGATTGAATGAAAAAAAAAAGAATTTTGGAATACACGAAAGTGAGGGTAGAGGAGAGGGAACTTGGCGAGCGCAACAAAAAATATTTTTCTGAGCTTTTACATGAAAAGAAAAAATTTTTTCTTTTATTATTTTGTTCAAACTTTTTCTCGATATTTTATTTTTGTATTTACTCATCTATAGAGAATTAATAAACATTTTTTGGGCGAGAATGACTGGGATGTCTAGGCGCGAACAAAATAAAATAAATTAGGTAAATAAATAAATTAGAATAAATATTTAGGAAAAAAATAAAGGACAACAATATCAGAATTATTAGAAATCAGAATTAATACAAAGGAATAGAACATAGTATAATAAAAATCAGAATTAAAAAATACAAAAATCAGAATTTTCTACAACAAAATACAAAAAAGAAATACAAAATCAGAATTAATATTAAAAAGAAAACAAACAAAAATCAGAATTTATTTGGAAAATACACAAATACAAAAATCAGAATTTCCTAAAACAAAAATACAAAAATAAGCCAATAAAAAATACAAAAATTAATATAATTGTGCGTCTCGAGGCGCCGCGTCAGAACAACCCTAAAATAGTCATTCAAGCCGATTTGTACTTTATAAAAATAGAAATAGTAAAATTCTATCAAAAAAAAATTTGCTAGAAAACTAAGAAATTAAAAAAAGGCAGAAAAGGGCTGTATAACGGAGCAGGACGAATAGGCGCAGCCGAATAGGCGCAGACGAATAGGCGCAAGTTTTTCGGCGCAGCCTATTTTCGGCGTTTAACGCAAAAACGCGTAAACACATCAATTTACGCGGAAAAAAGTTTTTGCCGCTGCGGAGGAAGCCGGGCATGTCGAGCGGAACGACGGCCGCCGCTTCGCTACGGTCGCCGCGAGCGAAGCGAGCACGACCGCAGCGAAGCACGGCCATCGTGTAGCGAAGACCATGCCCGGCCTACCCTCCGTAGCAGCACAAAAACAGTTTTTCCAGCGAAGATTCTGTTGGTCATAAGTTTATGCATAATTTTGAATCAAGCTGGTTTCAGTATCATCGATAAAGCTCGTATAATGCATGCAAACGAGCTATTATTTGTATATTTAAATTTTTTCCCTCGACGCCGAAAACATGCTGCGCCGAAAAAATTGCGCCTATTCGTCTGCGCCTATTAGTCGTGTACCCCTGTATAAACAAATTAATTTATTTTGGGCTGAAAAAGATGTGTAAAAAATAAGACCAAAAATTATTCCTTTTTTATTTTTTAGATAATTTCTAAAAATCATGTGAAATTAAAAATTAAATTTGTAAATAAATAATTTATTTAATTTAATTAGAAACTAATAAAGAATTATTTATGTTCGTTCGATCGATGAATAATAGAAGTTCCCGCAGAATTTATAAATATTTATTTAGATGAATATTGAAAAGGCCGGTGTTGAGAGTGAGTTGGTTAATAATATTTTCTGTTTTAGATTTAATATATTTATAAGGGGAAGGGAGGTTTTTTATTTAATATTGATGAGATTTATTTTTATTAAGAGAAAATACAAAAATCAGAATTTAAATCAGAATTACAAATTCTGATTTAAATTAAAACTTAAAAGTCATCAAAATAATAAAAAAATCAGAATTACAATTTGTAAAAAATATCAGAACCACGCTTTGTAGGAAGGAATAAAAATCAGAATTTATCAGAATTACAAAAGAAATAGGGCACTTAATTATCGTCAGAATTAAATAAATAAAAAAGAAAATCACCTAAAATCAGACTTAATAAAACACAAAATTTAGAGAATAATTTTATTTTACAAAACTAATTTTGAAAAATAAATTTAAAAATTTTTTTCATAATTTTTTAAATCTTCTGTTCATTAATTAGACAACTATTTTCTTCACTTTGAACAGATGGGGAAGATTCAAGACAATTTTCTTCATTTCTTGCTGTTTCCAATGAACGTGTTGAGGAATTGGATAAACTTAAATTGAAAATTAATTAGAAATTATAAACATAAAAATCAGAAATTGTAATAAAGTTTTACAAAAAAAATGTTTTTTAAAAAAAAATGTTAAAATGTTTTACAATTTCTAAAAGAGGTCAAATTGTGAAACTTTATTTTTAAATTACAAATTGTAAAAAAAGTTTGAAATTTTTAAAAAAAGGTTTCAATGAAAAATACAATTTGTAAAGTTCTAAAGAAATTTTACAATTGTAAAATAAGTTTTACATATTGTAAAAAATTCTCACAAATTGTAGAAAAAAGTTTTACAATTTGTAAAAATGGCTTTAATTAAAATTACAATTATAGGTAAAGTTTTTCATACAAATTACAAATTGTAAAAAATCAGAATTTTTAAATATATAAATCAGAAATTGTAAAAACAATCATTAATTTGTAAAAATCAGAATTTACAAATTAAAAAACTTACAACTCGCAAATTGAAGGTATTAATGTTGGTAAACCTCCAACTTGACTATTAATATTATTTTTAATATTAAAATTAGGTTGTTGCAATAAATAAGGGTTATTAATTGTTGATTTATTAAAATTATTATTTTCAAAATTAAAAAAAGAACAAGACTGTTGATTATTTAAATAATTATTTTGTTGCCATATTTTATTTTGATCATTTTTGTTTTGCCAAAAATCAAAAAGTAAAGCTGTAGCAGGGTTAGCATTTGAGGAAGAAGGGGTCTGTCAAATAAAAATAAAATTTTTCGAAAAATAAAAAAAAAAGTTTTACGGATGTCAATCCATTCTGAACACTCTTGGCCGCATTGAGCAAAATTTGTTCAAATTGGGGCCATCCCGCGGCAGCTGCGGCTGCTAGCCCACCCATCATTGAAGTTATACTTTGTCTATAAATTAATTATTTTTTAATTTAAAAATCAGAATTTAAAAAATTCAGAACACCTTTTTTGTTTCATTCGCCTATTCTGAAACCAAACTTTAATTGTAGCCTCGGGAAGCCCCAACTCTGCAGCTAATTCCCCTCTTCTCACTTTTGAAACATAATTTTCTCCAATAAATTCACGTTCTAGCAAGCGAATTTGTTCTCGAGTAAATGCTGTACGGTAGCGACGCATTGCTGCTGCATCTTAAATAAGAATCAGAATTTATAAATTACAAAAATCAGAATTTTAAAGAAAAGAGGGGGATTGTAAAACACAAATGTAAAATCAGAATTAAGAAAATAAATAAAAAATAACAGAATTAATCTTAAAAATTTAAAAATACAAAAATCAGAATTTTATAAATCAGAATTTTAAAAATCAGAATTTTAAAAATCATTTTAAAAATCAGAATTTTAAAAGTCATAATTTTTTAAAAAATCAGAATTTTAAAAACCAGAATTTTAAAAAATCAGAATTTTAAAAACCAGAATTTTAAAAATCAGAATTTTTAGAAATCAGAATTTTAGAAATCAGAATTTTAAAAATCAGAATTTTAAAAATCAGAATTTTTAGAAATCAGAATTTTAAAAATCAGAATTTTAAAAATCAGAATTTTTAGAAATCAGAATTTTAGAAATCAGAATTTTAAAAATCAGAATTTTAGAAATCAGAATTTTTAGAAATCAGAATTTTAGAAATCAGAATTTTAAAAATCAGAATTTTAAAAATCAGAATTTTTAGAAATCAGAATTTTAAAAATCAGAATTTTAAAAATCAGAATTTTTAGAAATTAGAATTTTAAAAATCAGAATTTTAAAAATCAGAATAAATTTTTTTAAAAACAATTGTAAAAAATTAATTCATTGTGAAGACCACCTAACAAATAAAAATATTAAAATTAATACAGTAATTTATTTTTTAACTATTTATTATCATAAAACAAAACCTTCGCTTCTTGTCTACTAACAAGCTTATTTACCATCAATTAAAGCAATAAAATAATAAAAAAACGTTAAATGCTGCCCCAGAAAGTGTAATTTTTTATTTTTATTTTTGCGAGATCGAAAAACGGCAATTAACCCAAAACAACAAAAAAATAATCCGTTACTCTCTTATTAAATACTAATTTTGTCGCGCGTGTTTTTGCCGTTTTATTTATTTTTATTAAGCGAGAAGTGTGTTACTGTATTAATCTGAGAGAGAATAAGAGGAAAATACAAATCAGAATTTAAATTATAAATTATAATCAGAAATTACAAATTGTAGTTAAATAAAAATCAGAATTTTACAAATTGTAAAAAATAAAATCAAAATGTTTTAAATTGTAATTAAATCAGAATTTAGCAAATTGTAAACATAATTGTAAAATCAGAATTTTTAAAATAAATAAATCAGAATTTAAATCAGAAATTGTAATGTGAAATTACAAATTGTAATTTAATAAACCAGAATGTTATAATCAGAATTAAATCAGAATTTTACAAATTGTAAATATAATTGCAAAATCAGAATTTTAAAAATACCAAAACCATAATTTAAATCAGAAATTGTAATCAGAAATTACAAATTGTAAAAAAAATAAGAGAAGGGTAAAATCAGAATTTTATAATAAATAGAAATCAGAAAAACAAAATCAGAATTAAAATAAAACCAGAATTTAAAGTTAAAATTAAAACTTACCAGAACAATGCGTAGGCAAATTCTCATAAAATAAAAAATTCTGATTGTGAAAATTCTGATTGTCGTTATTTAATAAATGTTGTTGGTAAATATTCTGATATTGTTTTTCCTTTTGTATTTTTATTGAAATATTCTGATTTGTATTTTCATTGTATTTTTCCAATTCCTCTTCTTCTGTTTCTTCTTTTTCTTCTCTATTAATTTTTAAATTTTTCTTTTGTAAACGCTTCTTGTAATATTTCTTTTGTTTATTTAAATTAACAGAATTTTCGTTGTCTATATTAATTCCGTTATTTTCTGGGTTTATTAAAGTATCAGAATAATTAGGTAGATGAAGAGATTTTTTGTTGTTATTGGCAGAATATTGGGAGTAAATGAGGGGCTAAAAATAATTTTTTAGTGGAAAAGTTTTTTTTCAGAATTCTGATTCTTTAATTTAAAAACAAAATCAGAAATTCTGATTTTTCCGATTTTTTCTGATTTTTAAATTCAAAAATAAAAACCAGAAAAAATCATTCATTATGTTCTTTACCTTTTCATTCCCTCCCAAAAGGGAGTCAATATGACGAAATGAAGAAGATGAAGTTGATAATGAAATCTCACATTCTGGTAAATCTTCCATTTTTAGAAAATTAATTTTTCTGCAATTTTAAGGAATAAAATAAATTTTTGAGGAAGGGATAATTATGAGAGAAATAAATACAATATTAGGCTTGCGGCGGTTATCCACTCATATTAATCTTTCTTAGCCCCGCCCCTTTTCTTATTTCCCGCCTCTTCTATTATAATTAATATTAAATGTAATACATATAACGTAATAGCGAAAAATACGAAAGGAAAACACTAGATTAAACCAGAATTAAAGAGATGTAAAAATCAGAATTTAAATCAGAAATCTTTCTTAAATAATTTCTGATTTTTGTATTTCTTTTTTTGTGATTCTGAACTAAATTCTGATTTTTAAGTTAAAAACAGAAATAAGAAATTCTGATTTGTTCTGATATTTTTTCTGATTTTTTAATTAAAAAATCAGAAATTCTGATAACAACTAGGAATTCTGACTTTTTTAATTTTAAAACAAAAATCAGAATTTACCAGAAATACCCTCAGACTTACAAAAACCAGAACAAATAACAAGATAATTTAATTAAATTTTATAAAAAAGAAAATATAAAAATCAGAATCTCTATTTTCTATTTCCTTCATAAAAGCATTTTTTCTATAAAAATAATTTTTAAAATTAAAAATAAAGTATGTAAAAGTTAATATTTATTCAATCTCCAAATATTCCATAAATAATTTCCCTTGGGTTAAAAAAATTTTTTTGAGGGTCAGAAATTTTGGTAATTTGTTTGATTTGTTTAAAGGGTCTATTTTCGTTTATTTCAATTTATTTTCCCCTACTTGCTTCATTTCTTGAATTGTCTCGATTTGTCACTTATTTGGTAACAAACATTTTTCCCTTGTTTACCCCTCCATTCTTCCCTCCATCAAAATAAAAGAATAATTTGACAGGATTTTTGATTAATCGCATGCTTTTGCCCCTTTTTGAGGATTGCGGGACATTAGGGCGCGGTGCCTTCAAGGAGAAACGACGTTGGGATTGAAGCTTCTAAACTGACGAATATTGAAGATGGAACCGCAAAATTTTGCATAAATATCCCTTATATATTTGGATACACTCTCCAAAAAATTCAGAATTTTTGGCTATTATTTCAGAAATTTTGGTCAGAAAAGTTAATTTTTGAGCGTCAATGGCCTGTTTTTGAGAGCTTTCGGTCACAACTTTTGAAATAATTAATCAAAAATTCTGAAATTTTCAGGAAAGTTGGTGGAGACTATAACGTATCTCAATAAAAAATTTCAGACCTCCAAGTCTTCTAATTCGTTTAAAATTTAATCCCACGCCTAAACATACCTGCGCCCAACTATCTATTAATTCTTATTAATTCTTTATTTTCCCGCCTGTTTAAGTTGGAAAATTATGCATAAGGCGGCGCTTAAGCTTTAAAATAAAAGAAAAAGGTTTTGAGGGCCTTAAGGGATTATACATATTATTTAAGTAGAATAAATATATATTTGTCAAAAAAATATTTTCGGCTGGCAACAAAAGAAAAATTGAGAAAATTTTGATAAATTAATTCTTAGAGATATGTATATTCTACTATAATTTAATTTAATTTTTTGGAATTTTAAAAGAAAAAATAAAATTTAAAAAAATTTTATGAACTAAAAAATTACTTATAATTAAATGGATAAATTAATTAAATTAATTTTATTCTGATTAAATTAATGCTTTGTATTTTTAAAAATTCTGATTTTTGTATTTCTGATTGTTTTTATTTGTCTATTTTTCTTATAAAAATTCTGATTTTAATTCTGATTAATTATCCTGTATTTTTTGTATTTTCTCTTTAATTCTGATTTTAATAATTTCATTATTCTGATTTTTATTTGTATTTCTTCTCTTTGTATTTTTTAACTAAATTATGATTTAATATTTATTTCAAGTTGAAATTATGTGTTTTTTCCCTTTAATTCTGATTTTCTTTTAATTATTCCTTTATCCCATTCTTTTTTTTAAAAACAAATTATTTTTAATTTAAAAACACTAAAATATTTTTCATTCAATTTTTGCTCATTTTTAATTCCAATTTTCAGCTGACATGCAAAATGACAATAATTTTCTTAGACATTATTACTACTAATATTTTAATGAAAAAAGAAGTAGAAGAGAATACTTTGTAATTTTTAAAAAAAGGTACTGAACTAAACTTGAAAAAATATCAGAATTAAATAAAATAAAAATAAGAAAAAATCAGAATTTATTTTCGATTGTGTCAATTAAATAATAAAAAAAAATGATTTAGAAAAAGAGAAAAAAGTTGGGAAAAAATTTTTTTTAATAAAAAGAAATGAGTAGATACCAATAAAGCCATAAAAATCACTAAACAAAAATATTTATCTCTTTTATTTTTGTTTTGATACCGGCAAAATCCTTTTATAATAAGAACAAATTACAAGAGATGTTTCTGTTGTAGTAATAAATAAATGTTGCATAATTGACCGTAGAAAAATAAGTTTTGGGCGGTTATTTAATAAAAAAGAAAATAAGCGGAAAAACACAAAACAATTTAACAGAAAATCATTGTAAAATGATGAGGAAATAATAAAGGGAAAACACATGTAATTGAGAATATTAAAGAGAAAATACAAATAAATAACCAGAATTAAAAACAGAATTTATTTGGAAAATACAAAAATCAGAATTATTATAAAATCAGAATTAAGAGAAAAATACAAATAGAAAATACAGAGAATTAAAATCAGAATTTAGATAAAACACAAATCAGAAAAATACAAAAATCAGAAATAATTGTAGTTATACAATAAACATTTTTTAATCAGCAAAATTTTGCCTAAAATTTGCAAAAAAAATATTTCATAATAAATTAAAAAATACGTATTTTAATTATTCTCATTCTTGGCCATTTTCCGCCAATATTTAATAGCAAAATAAAAAATATTAAAAAACCTTTTATTATTTTAATACCCTCAAAAACCCAATTTACTAGGCAATTTGTCAAATGCGCAGGCGTATATAATTTATTATACAAGTCGTAAGTAGAAAAAAATTTTTAAAATGAAATGAAGGCATTTTTGTAATTAAGAGGAAAATAAAGGGAGAAAAGATTTATTTTTATTTTAAAAATATTTTTCTATTTTTAGAGGGCATCTTTAGAGGTAAAATTTTAATCATGAAGAATTAGAAAAGAGAAAAAATTTTAACGAAGAAAAAAATAAAATTTTAATTTTATTCAACAATAAAAACAAAAAATATTATGGCAATTTATTACAAAAATTTTTAAAAGTCAACGCAAGGAGAACATTGGCATGGGCACACTACAACGGTGTTGGGCACAAGTACAATTTGAAACGTTTTGGACCATTCGGAAACGAGCTGGTTGAAAATAAGGGATTTATATATAGATCCTTAATTTTTAGGAAGTTTCCTTCCACATTATTAAAGGATATTCCCTTCACACTACCCAAAGATGTTTTTTTCATATTACCAAAGATGCCCCCTTTTCATTACCAAAAATGTGTTCCCTCACACCAGAGGTGGGTCGGAATTCCGATTTCCGACTTCCGATTTCCGATTTCCGACGTTTTTTTCCTTCCGATTTCCGATTTCCGATTTCCGAAATTTTGGAAAAATTTCCGATTTCCGAGAATTTTTGAAGCATATTTCCGACTAGAGATTTTTTCAAAATTCTCAAAATTTTCGCCTGCGGCGCAAAAAATGGAAGATTTTTGACTTGAGGCTCCCAAAAATCCCAAAAATTTTGCCTGCGGCGCCGTAAATGGAAGTTGAATAGTATATCGGAGGATTAGGTTAGATTAATGTGGACTTTGAGTTATATCATGTGATTACGAGGGGTCATAGGCTCTATCAGTCCTCAATTTTAAACTCCAAATATCCCTATTAATTCTATAAATTCTCTGATATCCTGTCTAATCTACCAAATCCCACAATATCTCTTTTAATCTCTTCGAATTTGACTTCTAAGTTGCAAAAAGTACTTTACACCCTCAAATTACACTTAAGAAGGCCCATAATTTACCACCTTACAATTTTAAATAAATTTCAGTTATGAAAATAAAAATTTTATTTCCGATTTCCGCCTTCCGATTTCCGGCGTTTTTTTCCTTCCGATTTCCGATTTCCGATTTCCGAAAAAAAATTTTGATTTCCGATTTCCGAGTTCCGACTTTTGAGCCATTTCCGATTTCCGACAGTTCCGATTTCCGACACCTCGGGCTGTTCCGACCCACCTCTGCCTCACACTATCAAAGATCCCCCTTTCAACCTACCAAGTATGTTACTTTCGCACTACTAAAAATCTTACCTCTAGAATGTTTATATAAATCCTGAATGTGTGTTAAACGAAAGATAGCAGAAGAATAAACATCTGTAGGGCCCGCAAATCGAGGGCGACGATGTTGTTCTGATAGACAATCGTAAACAAAATCAGCACTTAAATGACAAAATTTTAAAGTCAAACATCACTATTACATATAAAATACACTCAATACTAGATATACCTCTATTTAAAAACCTTTGAAAATTTGGTCGGAAATTGAGATGGGGAGTCGCGGATGTTCCTTCCAGCCTAGCTCAGTCCGAAAGGACATGGTCCTTTCAGCCTACTTACTAGTCCGAAAGGAAATGTCTCTCCAAAATTTCCAGGCTCAATGTTTATCTAATAATAAGGTCCGACAATAGCTAAATAATTGAGCAAAAATATTTAAAACTCAACTATTCTTGAGGACAACTTCTAGGTAAGGGTAGACCATGATCTGGCTGTTCAAAAGCAAAACAAATTTCTTCAAATGTTCTTTGATAATGTCTAAAATGTTGAATTACGATTTTTAACATTTTTGGATATTAATAAATTTTTTAGAAAATTTCAGAAATTTTCTGGATTTTTTTAAATTTAAAAATCACGGTTCAGCGCCAAGTGTAGCGCATTCCCAACAAAGCACTCCAAACATCCTAAAATAATTTTAAAATAATTTTAAACTATCAGAAATACCAAACATCACTCTCCGGTCGATGTTTTGTATTTTGTTGATCTAATGAACAAACAATTTCTGGGGGCAACCAGGGGATAGGTAGCCGAGGACCAAAATCTATCGGCAATCCAAAATCGCCTAATTTTGCTATACAGCTTTAAAAATTTTATTTTATTAAATTTTTAATAAATTAAAATTAAATTAGGAAAGTAATATTAAAGTATTCCCTTAATCCTCTGAAGCTTCACACTACAAAGGATGTTCCCTCCACATTACTAAGAATGTCCCTACGCACAACCAAAGATACATATCCTCTCCACACAAACAAGAATACAAAGGATGTTCTTTTCGCACACCAGATATGTACCCCTAGCAATACCTAAAGTGTTGCCTCACTACCACTACCATGCTATCAAAAAGCTCACACTATAAAAGAGTTCCCCTCAGACTACCAATAATGTTCCCTTCACTCCACATCCTTTAGGCTACCACAAATGTTCTTTTGACTCAACCAATAATGTTCCCTTCGCTCTACTAAACGATGATTTTTAATAGGTATAAGATCTCACGTAGCCAGATTCCGTTCATTAAGCAAAATATTTCTAGCAGCAACATCCCCATGTGTGAAATCATTTCCCTGAATATCTCGATTTTCGTGCAAATATCTAAATTTTGAATTTTTCTGATCAAAAAATTTTTTATAAACATACTTGAGGGCGTGTACAATTTGAAGTAAAATGTGAACTATATCTCTGACATAAACTCTCACCTGCTCCCTTTCCTCTTTTCTCTGAAAAAAATTTTTTTTAGAATCTTTTCATACTTTTCAGAATTTAAAAAGAAATTCCCCCACCCTAATTTCCTCTCTAAAAAATTCTGACAGACTTCCCCCAGCCAACCATTCCATAGCCAACATTGGACGAAAGACGGTAAATGACCTTTTAATTAATTAATTTAAAAAATATTCCCAATTAATTATTTACACAATTTGCTGACAGCAATAAGCTTGACTATATTTGGGTGATTAAGTCTAGCCATCCTTGCGGCTTCTTCGAGAAGGCCTATACTCTTTTGGGGCATTGGATAACTCATCTGGAAAAAATTGGAAAAAAGACGAAATTTTGGTTAAAATTTCTAAAAATTAAGAAATTTTTTAATTTAAAAATTAAAAGAAAATTTTAAAAAAATTTTTAAAAAATTTTATTAATTTAGGCATAGTATAAAAGTTATACAATTTCAGAATATTATCAGAATTTCTTTATTTTTCCTTCTATTTACATAAGTTCAGAATCTTTGTATTTAGAATTCTGGTAATAAATAAAATACAAAAATTCTGACGATAATTCTGAAATTAAATAAAAGGTAAAATACCAGAATTTGTATTTTTTAAATTACAATTTTCAAAATTTTTATTTTGTATTTTATTTTTATTGTGTTTTGTGTTTTATATGTTTTCTTATTATTCTGATTTCTGCATAACCAGAATTTTTTGTATTTTCCTTTTTATTAAAATCAGAATATTACCAACTTTTTTGTATTTTTCTTTTTATTTCAGAATTTATTTGTATTTTTCTAATTTTCAGAATTTTTATTTCCTTTCAGAATTTAATTTCAGAATTATTTTGTTCTGTATTTCATTTCTACTTGAAATTATGTGTTTTCTATATTTTTCTGATTTCAGAATTTTTTGTATTTTATTTTAATTTCAGAATTATTTTTTTCTGAATATATTTATTTTAATAATTCTGATTTTTTATTTTTCCTTTCCCCTTATTAAATATTTAAAAACAAATTTAGCCACGTGTATAGAATAATTTAACACATTTCCATTGCTTACATCATTCTCTCTTTTACTCATTCCGTTAGAAAATGAGCGTGCAGAAAAGATTTTATTCATAAAAATAAATATCGTGCCCCTTTAGCTCAGTGGTAGAGCGTTGGTCTTGTAAACCAAAGGTCGGGAGATCGATCCTCTCAGGGGGCATTCTTTTTGTTTTTGGGTATTTTATGGGTAAAATTAATTTTTATGAGGGCTAGAAAATTAAAAAAATTTTTTTTAATTTTTAAAATTTTTCTAAGGTATTTAAAAAATTATTTAAAATTATTTTTATTAATTTACTTTAACTGCCGCGAAGACTTTTTGTCTAAAACGCGTCTGGGACTTGGCAACGACATACTAGAAAAATTCAAAAAAATTTTTTTTAATTTTAAAATTTAATTTACTCCTTTAAAAACAAATCCAACAGCTCCCTGCCCTAATTTTATATCTGTCAATTCAATATTGCTAAAATTGAATTTTTAATGGAGTTATAATTTAATTAATTAATTTACATGTCGTCAACGAGAAAATCGTCGAGGGCTGTAAATTTTCTTGAAAAAAATTTTTGAAAATTCTAGTACCTCTCCTCAAAAATCGTAGCCTTTCAATATATGGAAAAATGGAATCTGGAGTTGGGTGACAAACATTTTTGCCATCTAAAAGTATAAAAAATTAAGGAGTTTGGAATATTTGAATGATTAAGTTTGACTTGGAAAATTTTCAAAAAGTGAGAAAAAAATCTAAAAATTTTCCTAAAATTTTCTCAGATTAAAAAAAAATTTTTTAAACGTTTGCAAAACCAAAGTATAGCAATAAAATAAAGCAAAGTAAGCGTTAAAATTGTTGTCCAAGGAGTTAAATTTTCTGTACAGGCAGGAAGGCTTCCATAAATTGAAGAAGTTTCAGTGGAGTTTGTTGAGTAGGAAGTTGTTGAATTGGAAGAATTATTGGTAGGTTGGTTACTCATTAAATTGATGGGTATATTAATTATTCAAAAATTCATCAAAAAATATTTTTTAATTTAATTAATTTAGCCTCACTTTAAACTACCCTTAAAATTAGTTTCGGGGCAAGGAGCAAGAGACAATTATAATTCCAAAAATCGCAACCCTCCGTGATATAGTAAATCAGCTGGGCTATAGCTATTTCTCTCCTTTAGATAGCACAAAAGGTTAATCGGCGGCTGGGAGCAAATTAGCATCTTCAGTAGACCGGACTGATGTGTTAGCCATTACACCAGCCGCCTACTGCATAGCCTTAGGAATTAAATAGCTATACTATGTTTTACAATACATATAAAGGCTCTTGAAAACATGTTTTGAAATTTAAGAAATTTCTTGGGTCTAACACTAAGGTGAGAATTTTGGGAATTTCAGTAGACTATAATTATAGAATTCCTTTTCTTTTCGTCCACAAAATAATAAATTATTTTATTTTTACGTTAAAAATTATTGCGGTCTTCTCTTTTCTTAAATTAAAAAAAGAAAATAAAATAAAAATATTGATCTGCGCAACTCTCCAAATTATTTTTTTGATTGAATTTCTTTGAAGAAAAATTCTTTAATTTATTTCTCTCATTATTTCCTCTCGGCTACCCTACAACTCATCGAATCCTTAACTCATCGAATCCTCAACTCATCGAATCGGCCAAAAACACTCAACTCATCGAATCCTTAACTCATCGAATCCTCAACTCATCGAATCGGCCAAAAACGATCAACTCATCGAATCCTCCCAAAAGGGGACGTTTGAGTCCGTGTGTTTATTTTTTTTAGATTTCTATTGTTTTGTTTATTTTTTTTGTTTTCTTCTGGGGTTTCAACTAATTTTGTTAAAGTAAAATAGAACTCTTCTCCCAATTAACTATGCGCCGAAGCGGTGGGCCCTTTCCAGATATTATAGGATACAAGGGGAGAGGATGTGATCGGGACAATCCTAGAAGACCTTTGGGGTTGATCAAGTCCCTTAGACTCTTCCCTAACACCGAACACACCAAAGTGGATTAAAGCGCTTTATTCACGAACTAGGAAATGTGGACAATAATATAATCGCTAGCTAGCACATAATAAATAATAATTTAATATACAACTGAACCCTGTATAACTGTGATTAAATCGTTTAAATAAACATTAAAGGGGAGGGACAAAAGCTAGTAAATTGGTTGAAATAATGTGAACGGAAATATGATTGAACAAAGTCCTTCGGGTAAAGTCTCTCCAAGCTCAATATTTCCTGGGAAAGGACATAAGAGTCCTACACCTCCCTTGCCCATCTAGACCGTCCCTGGTCGTCAAAAAGTTTATAACCCTATTTATTTTTCATACTGCTGTACTGACCAAAACCGAAGTTACTAATCTTTATGAGAATGTCTCACTTTTATGGCTATTTGTAGAGCCATTTTTTCTTGCCTATATGTAATCACTCCCCTTTGTTTTCTAGGACCGTCTCTGGTCCGAATGAGTATTGTCAAAAGCTAAGAATTTAGATTGTGCAAATGCACTCCGCGAATGCTTAATTCCATATTTTATTTATTGTTCTCGAGACATTCCCAATTGATTTTCTTTCGGTTTTGTCAGCTTTAGCCGTAAAATATATGTATTTAATTTTTGAATTTCCTAAGGGCTTTTGGAATACTGAGCTTGATTTTGCAAAATTAATTGAAATGTGTGACTTTGGGTAATGGAGCAAAAGTATCTAGATATTGTGGTGAAGTAAATACATTAAATGATTCTTTTTGAAGATTAGGAAAATTAGAGTTGATTAACAAATTGAATAAATTTGAGGTAATACATATGTATAAATAATTTGTAAATGAGCGAACATGAGTTTTTTTTGAGATACAAAAAATATATCACAAATGAATATATCACAAATGAATGTTTATATGACAATAATATGTGAAAATTTTAGTATATTATTATAGAGTCATAAATCATAACGAAAAAGTAATGTGTCTATATCTTTGGATTTTTAATGTTTTTTGGAAAAATTTTGGCAATTAATATAAAAAGATTAAACCTAAGTTTTAATATCTAAGCTAAAAATAATAAAAAAATGAAATAGTGGAGGATGGAAGGTCAGGTAAGACATTATCAGTGCTGAAAATTTGTGTATTAGTTTTATGAACGATGAGGATTTGTTTTAATCCTGTTCATTCATAACCCATATACAGATTTAAAGCATTAACTTAGTCTTTTGGGATTTTAGAAAAGGTTATACAATTCATTATCTCCATCATTGCCCATTGCATCGCCGAGGCGCTTCACATCATGCATTGCACCATTTTGTGTTCCACATCAGAGGGAGCAGATATATGAAATAATGAGTATTAGAATTTATTTTAATTATAAAAGTCAAACCCTCTTTACCAAACACCCACACAATGCATGTTCATCTTCAGATTGTTCAGTTCTGCACCGTCACCTGTAATAGAATGTGTTAGTAGTCATTTATAAATTTAAAAAAAATTTCCCTTCTATAAGCAATTTAAAAAAAACTTTCCTTTTAAAAAGAAATTTCCTTCATTTTGCATACCTTTTCTCAAAAACTTCCCTAATTTTATTCTATATCATCGTTGTAGTCGCCGAAGCTTGTTTTTTTTTGATCATTTCTTTTGTTTGAGCCAAAGCATGAGTGCTGCAATGTCAAGTCGTTGTAGTTATGCCTTGTTAATTTTGTTCATGTATTGATGTCGCCGAAGCAATATTTTTTTGATGCCACCGAAGTATTATTTGATGTCGCCGAAGCATTGCTTGTTGATGGAATTAATTCATTAAATTTCTCGAAATTTTGTTTGCATTGATGGATTGGATGTTCGATGAGTTGTAGCTCCTAATTTCTCCAACGATAACTCCCAACTCTAACTCTTGCAAGTAGGCAACAAGCAACAAGGTGGAGCGACCAAATATTTCATCTTCTTTTTTTGCTTCAAGTGGAACATGAGGCGATGTGGTATTGACCAATGGATAAAGCTGTTTCGCCATTGAATGCAATTAGTTGTGGACTCGATTTATTATCGTCAAAAGCATTTAGAGTCATGACAGCATCCTAGTCTCTGATCGATTTAAGATGTTATTGCAAGGAATATGATTGAGGCATATAATTCTATTTTTTTATCGCCGAAGCTCTATGAAGAAAACAATAACTGGCACAAATTCAAATCAGAGCAAAAAGTTCAAAAAGATGGAATACGCATCGATCTGAAATAAAAATTTTTTCTTAAAATTTACTTAGTATAATTCTATTTTTATTTTATTTGAGGACTGTTTTATAAATATAAGTTGTAGATCTTTGTTTTAATTGAGTTACTATCATAAACTTAAAAGTTTCCCGAAGAAATGACTTTTGGATATTTTTAAAGATAAGTTTCAGTTTTTTTTAATTAGATTTAGAACGATATGAATGGAAGTAAATACATTTATTAATTCAGAAAGAGATAACAATTGCACAAAAATATTTGAGAATATAATTATAAAGGATTAATGGACATTTGAACGCTATTTACTTTGTTAAAAAAAATAGAAAGTCTATTTGCAATAACATATTCAGAGAAAGGTGACAAAAATTAGTAAAAATATTAGAATAGAGCATTATTTGTTTAGAATAATATAAATGGAACAGAATTAAGTCAGAATATTTTAATAAGTCCCCTAAAGGCCGCTTAGTCTAAATATTAAATGAATTGAATAGTATCTGCTAGTCAGGAATTTTAGAAATCCGTAATCCTTATAAGGTTTCATCCTATTCCTAATTCTGGAATATATTTCAATATTTTCAAAACCATTTTGTGTGATAACTCATTATAATACAAAGGAAATTTTTTTTTTTATTAGAATTGATTTCCAACCTATTTAAATCAAGGTTATTAAGACCAATTATTAATGAAGTATGTATTAAGAATTTTTTAAAAAAAGTATTTGCCGAAACAACACTATCATTATGAATATTTATCAATGAGATTACAAAATCTGTTTCATATTATTTTCAGACCCTTATATTAAGATAAAAGCTACTAGAAATTCAGAATAAAAGCACATTGAAAGATACATGAGAGCTGTAGTAGAGAATCAACACAAATTTTTAATAATAATTTCGACATTTTTTTGAACACATTCTTGAAAACACAGAGAGATAACCAAAGTTTAATTTCATTAAGATTTTTAAGAGAGAAAATTCTATATCACCTTAATACGGGAATAACAAAATTTTAGGGTGTAATTTATGAAACCAAAAGAAGATAAGTTGTTATTCTGATGGTAAACAAAATTCTTTGATAAAATTAATATAGAAAAAAAATTAAAAGATTTTGTGTGTAAAAAAAATTCCGTTTGAAAATACATTAAAATTTAGTATTTAATGAGTTTTGACAAGCTATGAAATGAAGTATTTAGCTATGGTATATGAATATATTTAAACAAAAAGTTGTTAAACATTACATAAAATAAGTTTGACCAGTCTGTATATTATTTAGAAAGCAAAAAAGTAATTTGAATTATTAGAATTTTTCATTTTTGAATATTTTATGTAATTGTCTATTAATTTTAAGTTGATATATAAACTTTGTAAAGCTTGCACTATTAATTTTATTTAAAAAGATAAGCATGAATTCTAAACATGAAATTTGAAAATAAGCACGAATTTCTGATCTCTTATGTACCCCTAAGGAATTTTTGTGGAATTTTGTCTATAAAATAAAATTGGATTAATATTTAAATAGTTGGGGTTTCGCTTGATTCGAACAGAAAAAATCATAAGACATAGATTTTAAGCAAAAGAACTACAGTAAAATGTAAAATAATTCTTAAGGTGTGACGAATCAAACATAATATCGGTCTAAATAAGTTAAAACAATTGAGAAGATTAATAATAATTAAGCAAATTCAAAATGTTGGTAAAGAATAATAGTAAATACTATCAAGAGTCAGTAATATTGAAGTACCGAAGTGGATTATTGAGTTGCACAATATATAAAGATTGGCGATTTAATTGAGGGAAAGGAAATTATCAAGAAAAAGTTTTACATTAATACTTTAAATTGCCTAAGCTCATTAATTAAAAATACAACTGTTTGATTTATGAATGAACTGAAACTTTAAGTTGAATGCATTTTTATTACATTGTGGAACTGATTTTTTTTGAATTGGTGAGATTTTATCTCATTAAATCGAAAT